TTCATGAGCGTGCGCAAAGCTTCTCTTTACACACTAGTAACGCAATATACTATTATGCCACTCATGCCTGAAACCGGCTGGATTACACACTCGACGCTTCGCGTCTCGTGTCTAATTCAGCCGGTTTCAGGCTTCGTGACATAAAATTTTGTTCAGTACTTGTTGGGAAATTTCGTTCTTAACGTGTGTGGTTACATCACTCGCCTTCGGCTCATGCCGTAAACCCCACACACATTAAAGACGAAATTGCCCCACACGTGCTGAAATATACTATTTTGATAATTTTTAACAAACGATTTTTTTGGCATAAGCAAGCCTTATTTAAGAACTCTGCTGTTTTTCTCTAGTGTTCCAAGAACTACGGAAATTCTCTCTCCACATTCGACTAAAAGACGCCGCCTAACCACCTTTAGGCATCAAATAAATAAAATAAATGATAATATTTATTATTTTTGTCATTATTTTGTTGAGAATTATTAATGTTACATGAAGACGAAAGTCCTATTCTACTAAAGATGAAAGAAACGTGAAGTTGTTTTATATCGAAATATCTCGAAACTGCCTGACCGCTAATCCTTAATTCTGATTGGTCAATATGTGACACGAAATTATATACAAAAAAAAACGCGGCATTTTAAAATTTTTCAGTGACATAATCTCAAATTCTTCAGTGGTAAATTTTTTTTCACGTCATATAGATGTATATAATATATATTTCACATGTATATATATCATCGGTGAAATTAATAAATTCTGGCCTTTTATGGAGACCGATTATTTTAAAAAATTGAAGATAATTAATTGAAAATGAAAAATTCTTTATAGATTCTTTTACTCCGCTATTCACTTCAGTCATTAGTCGAATTCTGTTTGATTCATTATCAATATTTATAAGGTATTCATGAGAAAATGAAATTCAGTGAATTGCATTTCTTCATTTCAACAAATGAATAGATCAGCGCGCGCGAGAGCGCGCGTATAGATCTTGTTGGAGAAAAATTACCACACGAGTCAAGTAATCGGTGTGGAGCGGAATCCATATCTACTAACGGATTGAAAAGTATAGACCCCTGGGCCTCAACGTCAGAGGTTGATCTTGCAATGACCAATAACCCACCACATTCAACTTCATGTTTCTTATGGTTAGTTGGTATGTCTAGCATATATTTATTATTTATCTAAGGAAAAAATTGATATTAATGTTTAGGAATGTTGCAAACCCGAAAAATCCTGCAGCGCCAGGGGTTTATACTTTTTAACTCGATTGTAGGTCTTTTTCACCCTATATCGGGGCAAAAAGTGCGAGACGAATAGTTAATTCATCTCTGCTGACTCGGGCACGGAGAGAAATATTCAATAAAAATTACCAGAAAAAAGACGTAAAAATTACGTTTCGAAACGTAATCTGGGAGCGAAGTAAAATTCAATAAAAAGTGTCAATCGTCACGTAAATTCTACGATCTGTTCGGTAAAAATTACTCATCCGTCCGACGCCTCACGGCTAGCCATGGGTCACCGTGAGGGGGAGATTTTAACAACACGGTTCGTAATTTTTCCGGAACTTTTCGTAAAAATTCTTAAACATCCAAGAATTTTCATGTTCTCAGGCATAATAAGTCTTGAAGTTTCTGTTAAATTTTACAACTTCCAGAAAAATTACGTGACTTTTTCGTATTTTTTCGGTGACAGCCCCGAAAATTTACTGAACGTTTCAGATTTATTCTCTTATATTCCTATAGAAATTCACTGAGAACGATTCTCGCTTGCGGCTTACGTGAAATGTTCCGTAATTTTTCTTGAATATTTCTCTCCGTGGGGAAATTTAGTGAACGTGAGGGTAATTTGTGCCGAAACTGTAAAATTCACGGTTCATGTTGTCAAAAATTATCCCAGGAACGTGACTAATTGCATAATATCGTCTAATTAGTCACATATGTGTAGGAATTAGGAATTTTTTTGTGACGGAGAATGATTTTTGCATACCAAACCCGATAGGGCGAAATAAAATTCTATAAAAATTTGTTGTACATGTCGGAGTGAAAAGATTGATTATGCCATGAAAAGTTTTCTGTTTTGTGAAAATCCTTGTCCGCTGTACATATGAATACTCAAATCGTTTTTTTCTGACACTGACGAATGATTCTGCGTTTCCTCAAAAATCATAGAATACCTGCTGAGACCTTTGTGGAACCCCGGGGGGATCCGGGAAGAATACGCGCTCCAATATATATTTTCCCTTTTCTGAATGTAAAAAAAAACCTCTAAAAGAAGGGAAAAACTCCTTCCAATAGAGGAAAGTTCTGGAATATTTGAGTGAGCATTGAAAAATCTGAGAGATAAAATAACAACGAATTCTCATAAATTTTCTAACTGTCGCCAGGAGAATTCCGCACTCGTCAATAGAATATCAATGAAATTTCTTACAAGTGATGTTGCAATGAGTCCGAGGAAACTTTTTATTTAAAGTCGCGATGCATAGCCGCACAGTCGAGAAACTCCCATAATTTACCAGTGAGGACTCGCACTGCATCGTTTTCAATTTAGAGAATTGGGAGGCGGTCTATCGTGCGTCCTTTCAATGATCCTCATGCTTCCTATACATACTTCTGGGGGAAAAATAGAAGGAAACCGAGGGTGAATCCACGGAATACAAAATGGCATTGCAGAAAGCGACGTGAAAGTCCATATAACTGGGTTTAACGGCCGTGCGTGATGTCTTTTCTGTTTGATGTTCGATATTCCACGGGATATCTCAAACACAAATGACACTGGTGCTCAAGGACAATTTTAGTTTTAAACAAATCCCTACTCTTTCAGACCATTATGCAGTTCATAGCAATTTTAAGGAGATCCAAGTATCTTTTACAGTTTGATACAGACCATACTATAGAATCAATTATTGTCAATCATCAAATTCGTCAATTAAATTGCGTGAGAAAAATTTGAAAAAAAATCATGAATATTCAGTATCACTCAAATTACATTTTGCATAGAACTATTATTTTTTTAGACGTCCGTTGTTTATAAGTAAATAATTGAAATAGTTTGAACTTTCGGAAACCTTATTTTTGCTTCGGAATGAAAGCATTGTAATCGTTCAAATTTAAATTTTGATTTTTTTTATGTTATATGTTATACTCATTATGATCCAAAAAGTCCGAAAATGCAATTTGTAGACCGTGTGGGTGACCTAGTACGTATGTGTGTATGTACACGGAGAGAAATTTTTTAGAAAAAGTCTAGTGCTAGCACGGGAAGAGGCGCAAAGTGACGGCCAGGAAAAAATTTCCACTAGAAATTTTATTGGGGAAAACGTGAATTTGTCCCGTATTTCTGTGAAAATTTCACAGAAATACCAAGAAACTTTACCTTAACAGCACTAGAATTTTTCATAACCGGTGGATTGTGATTTTTTCCAGTACTCGTAGTAGAATTTTTCTAGAAAATTTCTCTCCGTGTATGTATATATGTGTGTGGTAGTTTTTTTTTCAATTATTCGCTAATGAATAAATGGAATTAAATCTTTTTTTCCAAACGTAGATCCTGTTGAGCTCTATCGATCGCCGTTAATTAAAATTTAATTCGTCGATTGATTTTTTTTATTTTCGAATTTTTTGAAAATCGGTTGCCTCACAATAATTCAAAAAAATGTTCTGAATTAATTGAATGATGACTTTAAAAAAAAGTTTGGATGACCCTTTATCCGAATTTGAAGATGAAGGCGATAGCAATAATCGTTACTTTGATTTATTTGAAAATTTTCAAAAATTTTGTATTTTTCGAAAATCAGAATTCCCGGGATATCTTTGAATATCATGCTTCAAATTAGTTGAATCATAGCTTAAAATGTTTGTTTTAATGCCATTAAGCCGAATTTAAAAGATGATTACGGTAGCTATATTGGTTGATTTAATTTTTATGAAAATTTTGAATTTTTCATGAATTTCCCGGAAAGTGAGTTTTCTGATGGTTTCTTCAAATGTGATATTTCAAATTCATTCAAGTATGTGTAAATAAAATTTTTCTATAAACATTTTATGGAAGGGCTGAGAGGAGAGATTGAACTCTAAAAAAAACAATCGGTTGTATAGAAGAAAAGGAATAATAAGAATAATGATGCAGATAACATTCAACAAAGTTGAAAATCTGACAAAATTAGGTAAAAGGAAATCTTATTAACTTTAATAAAATGAAATAAACAATGAATTATACATGATAGAAGGAAATGATGTGTAAAAAAAACATTCGGAAGCAGATTGCTAATTTATTAGCAAAAATAACTATACTATATACAATAAAAGGGCAATTTCCCACTTGTTTTAGGCATGAAATAAATAAAAATAATAATAGTGAATAACAATTAAAATGGGTTCCTAAAAATCAGCAACAGAGGGGCGATCACCTTCGGAACACAGGTCAGATTTCTCTCAGTGTAAACTCTACTAATATGGAATTTTAAGACTTTAGTCCATAACCCCCTGCCTTTTTCAGAATGATAGTATCCAGGGTAATGCGGACGTATCTTCATTGGGGATCGGAGGGAACCGTGAGAAGAGAACTGCGCCAATAAAACTGTATTTACGTTTCATCCAACTGATAAGGTCATAAAGCTATAAATTTTGTGGAACAGGCTATCATAATTCCTCTTTTATTCTCGAAGTAAGGATCAGTTTCGGAGAATTTATTAGAAAAAGTAATGGATCATAAATCATAATTTATAGTTTGTTACATTAGAATTATTATCCGCAGTTCTGAGAAAAGAAATTGAATTTATGGTGGGAAAAAGTGAATTGAGAGATGTGTTAATGAGATCAGATTGCAAGAGTTTACGATCGATTTCGTGGAAGTGAATTTTCAAGGTTGAGTTCGAGGTAAAATGGAAGTGATCACTTGACTGAGTCTGACATTCCTAGGAGTCTTATAAATATGTCACTCTACAAATCTCTCCAAATATACGTTGACATCACGACCAGCAACCGCTCGGTATAAGTTCAGTCGCAGTGATGCAGGTGAAGACGTCACAAGAAGTGATTCGGCGTTGAAAAATGAAGATATTTGCCTTTCGTTGGAAACTTCTCCACATTGTTGTTTTTGTTTCACTTATTAGATCGGAAGTAACTAGCCAAGTTGTTCCGTGTACGTGTGCGGAAACAACGGGTTCTACAACGTCGGATTCAACTACTTCAGGTATTAGTCCTCTCGCTTCGGACAAACGAGGCGCGTCCGATGAGCTGCGGGTCATGCCCAAAGGGCCAAGTCGCCCAGAATGAACCCTTCGGGTGCAGCCCGGACGGACCCAAAGTGCCCCGCTTGCGCGAAGCGAAAAGACTTACACTTTTGAAAATTTTTCACCACACGGAGAGAAATATTCAGTCAAAATTACGGAACTCACAATTCGCTCACCGATTACGGAATCGACTTAGAAAATTTAAGTGACGGTATCGTAATTTTTCACAGGAGATTCAGATAAAAATTACGGAACGTTCTTGAAAAATTCCGTGGTAGTTCCGTAAAATTTCGTATATTTCGTAAATTTCGTTCAGTAAAAATACGTCATTTTTATTGAATATTTCTCTCCGTGTAAAATTTCCGGTACATTTCTTGGAAGTTTTCATCACATTATAGTTGTGAATTGAATATGTTTTGAATTGTTACTAAAAATTCAAAACTTCATAGCAATATCAATGGAAACTGAATGTCAATTCTATTATTTCATGAAAATTAACAGAAAACAGGGAAATTCAGGTAAATATACTCTTGAATTTTCAATGACTTGAGAATTCAGCGTAAATTGGGACTGAATATTGACGCTTCGATTTAAAATTCAAGGAATTGGGGAATCATCGTAGCTCTGTTGCTCAAAAATGTGCCATTTCATTGAATTTGAAACAAAAAAAAAACAAATAGCAAAAAAAAGTGAGTTTGAATGTAGAAATTTCTCCACGTTGTCGTTTTTGTTTTACTTATTGGATTGAAAGTAACTAACCAAGAAGTTTCATATTTGTCATTTAATTATTTAGATAGATTAGGTAGTCTAATAATTTTAATAAGATAAGCAATATAAATAATGCTTTCTGTCACGAGTATTATTTTTAATTGTTCATGTTATCAATTTCATTGTTATAGTTTATGTCTATTTAATTTTGATCCTGTGATTCGCCGTGTGTGTGTTCTGGGTCTGTATGAAATAAAAAATTAAATCAAATGAATTTTCAATGAAATATGAAATTTCATTATTCTCCCTCCTCCCCCCCTCCACCAATCTAATTTAATGTCACTTTTCCGAAAATAACTACACGGAGAGAAATATTCGATAAAAATTACATATCTTTCCGTAATTCCGGAGCGAAATGTGGTTGTAGGAAATTTTACGGAACTGTCACGCAATTTTTCCGGAGCGTTTAGCAGTTTTTATCTGAATCTCCTGTGAAAAATTACGATACCGTCACTCAAATTTTCTAAGTCGATTCCGTAATCGGTGAGTGAATTGCGAGTTCCGTAATTTTTACTGAATATTTCTCTCCGTGTAGGCAATTGTCAGTCCAAGAAGCTTTCGGTTGGATTATTTAACTACTATTTAACTACTCCATACCAAAAAATCCTTATTCCTTTTTCCCCATCATGCGATTACCCGAGTGGAAATTTCACTCAGTTAGCTTGGATCTACATTAGTTTTAGGTTCCATACTGGTCAGAATTTATTGATTAGACTTTCGGATCAGGATCTGATGAGATTCTGAATGGAGTATGTGTATCCATTGTGGCGGAGTGAATTGTGATCCTATTCTGATCAGTCAAATCTTGACTAGATCCGTATCGGATCCGGTACTTTTCAGGAAGATCGAATCCTAGAATTTTGACCAGGCATGGACCCAAACAAGCGTTACATTTTTGATCCAAAATTGATCAAAATCAGTGTTAACTGGTCAGTCTCTTATTCTATCCTAATTTGAATTTCCACTCGGGTAAATCGTAAATTATCGAAATAATTCTACCGCTACTCCTCCGCAAACCGTTGAATACTGCATTTCTATTGGTTGACGCTCACATGGGGAATAATCCATGAAATTTCAATTTTTTTTCTCACAGTGGAAGGGTCATCACCGATCACTACTCTATCTACAACAGCAACAATAACACCGCGCAGTACGACGACCACAAACACTCCGATAACATCAACTTCATTCCCCACAGGAACGACTCCTACCCCTCTTTGCTTCGGACCAGGGCGCTTCGCCAACACCACTGACACGACCTGCCGAAGCTACATCTACTGCAGTGTAAACAGCGATAGAACAGCCTACATCGCTTACCCATTAAAGTGTCCGAAGGATTATCTCTTCACGCCCATAGCAGCAACATGTGTGAGACCTGCCTCATACACATGCCCAATAAAATAGTACATTTTGATACTAGGCCGTGAGGAACTTTGCTGGCGAATATGACGTTACAGGACGAGCCTAAGGCGAGTTCTGTAATCATATGAGGCAGAAAAGTTCTTCACGGCCGTGTATCGAACAGCATTTTTTGTCATTTAGTCCGGGGGCGGTGATTCAGGGACTGAGTGACAACAAAATGATTGTCAAATATAACCAAATTACTCAGTTAAAAATTTTTGTCTCAATTTTCCGTGCCGAATTCCGGAAATTTTTATCGTGTTCCAATTCCACTGAAATTTCAGGAAATCTTATCATTGAAAATTCAGGATCTCGTGGAAAAACCAAACAGAACTGTAAGCTTTCGTTCCATTTTTCCGCGAAAATTAATAGAAAAACAGAAAATTCTGGTAAATATATTCTTAAAAAAAATCATGAAATTTGAGATTTCACTGAATTCGATGCAATTAATTGAAATAATTAACACAATAATTCAATGCAATTTGACACTGAATATTCATATTAGATTGGAAATTAAAATAAATTAAGGACTTCTCGTCTTTATACTGCTTAAAATTCTGGAATTTTACTGAATTTTCAGTGAAACTTGAAATTTCATTATTTTTTTCCCCTAAATCGCATTTAGTGTCACTGTCCTGAAAATTGGTAGTCAACTGTCCATGAAATTTCATTTTTTTCTAACAGTGTAATATCTAGTACTAATAAGGAACAATATAAACCGTAATGAGTCATGTCGAAAACCGTTTGCACATCTGGTCATCTTCACACTTCCGAGATCAGCAAGATTTCCAAAAGCTCCTGATTGAATGGAGAACACCACAATATGAATAATCAAACTCCATAACTGTGTATAACTATCTGTATTTCCCAAATAGTTCCTCCGTTTCATTACAGAATAAAATGGACAATGATCAAACAAAAGAAACTCGAAGCTAATAATTGATTAACTAATCTAAACAACTTCCGAATTTTCAAGTACAACTAACTCCGTGAAGCTTCGGATTTTCCCTCCATCAGACGCCTCTCTAAATCTCACGTTAGACCAATGACTGATTGCCTCACGATCCCCAGCATCTGCACTTCTTCGGGATCTCCGGACCTTCACATCATCGTTCTCAAAGTTCGAAGTTCTCGTCGGCAAGACATCTGCGTTCTTCCCTAGAATATCCCCACCATCATTCTTCGAAAGTTGGGACTTGATTTCTGTTAACCCTGTTGAAATATCAGTCCTAATGTCCGGAAGACATTGCTCGAGAATTTCTTCTTTCTCCGAAGCGTTCTGAGACGCCGCAACCGGTAGACTCCTAGTCCTGCGAGTCGCGTTATTTTCCTCGTCCGATCCAACATATCCCCAAATGATGGGTGAAATGCCCTCGAAGGCCGAGCACTTCAGCAAATCCCGTATGACTCCAAGATCATTGACGGTATCGTTAAGAGCGTCCAGCAGATCCATGTACGTTCGGTTCTTATGATTCAACGCCACTTCTTTCTTCAGGTTGACAACCGTCTGTCTGTTATCATTCTCATCGATTCTCTCCAATACAACTTGCAACTTCAAAGCGTAACGTGGTTTGTGAGTTGAATGAGCTTCTGTCCACAAAGTTGTTGGGAACGTGGTCCTAGTAGCTATGGGGAATGTGACGTTCTCGCCCGAAGGAGTCTCTTCCTCCGACGGCGTTGACTCTGTTTGCGTTGAGGCATCAGGCTCTTTCAACCCCTCTGATGCTGTTCCATCCCCAAATGCAGGTTCGTCTCCTGGTCCCTCCGATACTGACGTTACAGTCTCTCCGGAAGTTGACCTTGTAATTCCACACTTCCCCGTGGAGTTATCGCAAACAAGGTCCTCAGGTACCAGTGTTATCTCCTTTGATGTCTCTGGTGAATTCTCATCGCCATAGACTTCAACAGGTGGATAAGTACTCGATCTAACGCAGCTTTCGTCCCCTAGTTCACAGGAACTCTCTGAATAAGGTTCTGCTGATTCCTCCGGAATTTTGTCTGATGAGCTTTCTGACGGCTCAGTAGTTGTGCTTGTAGATTTCGGGGTGCTGCATGTACCATCGATCAAGCAATCCACAGTGATCGATGGAACTTCATCAGGGGATTCAGGAGTTGTTGTTTCGTCAGGCGTGTCTGTAATATGTTTTAAGGAAGGTCCCACCTTGACTTCTACTCGCATCAACGGATTATCCGGTATGTCCGACGACTCATAGATGTTCTTCGTTATGAACGATCCTATGCCACATCTGATTGATTTCTCCTCGACTACCGTGAGATTATCCTCGTGATCAACTTTCTTCAGCTGTGTGACTTGACTCCGTCGGGTATCGTTTGCGAAGTATTCCTGGAACGGTGTGTTGACTGCTTCTTCCTTGCTGGTGGGATGGATCTCACCCTCGACTCTGGGGCACCATAAGTGTTCGTCCGGAATCAGAACCGAGTTTTCAAAAGTGACTGTATACTCTCGGACGACCAATCGCTTTGGAGGGCTTGTGGTGTTGTCTTCTTTTGTTGTGACGGTTTCGATCCAACAGAGGGTTAGTTCGTCTTTTGAGTGGAGAGTCGTAGTGTGTTTTGGTTGCGCAGAAAAGTTTGTGGATGGGAAGCTTAAGCTGTATCGTTGATTGGTTTTTGGTCGGCCGTTTGTGCATTGTTTTTCTTCTAGAGGTTCCGAGGGCTCTTTATGGGGTTCTACTGATTTTAGTGGAAAGTCTGTTGTTACTTGTGGGAGATTTTCCGATGCTTTTGGAGGTTCTTCTGATACTTTTGAAGACTGTGTTGTTACTGTCTCAGACTCTTCTGACACTTTTGGAGGCTCTGTGGTTACTTTCGCAGGTTGGGTTAACTTCGGAGAGTTTTCCGATGTTTTTGGAAGCTCTGTCGTCACTTTTGGAGTTTCTTTCGATACTTTCGGAGGTTCTGTTGTGACTTTCGGAGGTTCTGTTGTTACTTCCAGAGGTTCTGTTATGACCTTGACAGTCTCTTTCGATGCTTTTGGCGGCTCTGTCGTCACTTCTGAAGTCGCTGCAGATGTTTTTAGAGTTTCTGTTACTTTTGTAGGCTCTTGTGTAACTTGCGGAGATACTTTGGATGTTTTAGGAGGCTCTGTCACTACTTTCGGAGGTTCTGTAGTTACGTTTGGAGGCTTTTTTGATAATTTTAGAGGCTCTGTTGTTACCTTGGGAGGTTCTGTTGTAACTTTTGAAATCTCTGTAGATATTTTTACAACCTTTGTTGTTACTTTTGGAGGCTGTGTTGCTACTTTCGGAGGCTCTTTTTGTACTTTCAGGGACTCTTTCGATGTTTTTGGAGGCTCTATTATTATTTCCGGAGACTGTGCTGATATTTCTGGGGATTCTTCTGATAATTTTGGAGGATCTGCTGCTACTTCTGGAGCTTCTGTTGATACTCTTGGATGCTCTGTTGTTACCTTTGGAGGCTTCTCTGTTACTTTTGTCGGTTCTTCCGGGAACTTCCAAGGTTCTTCTTTCGGAGTTGTTTCACGGACTTTTGAAGGTTCTACTAGCTCTTTTGACGGTTTTTCAGTCTTTGACAGTTCCATCTTCAGTTTCTCCATGATGTCTGGGCCGTTATTCTCAGGGACTTCATCAGAATAATTGGGAACGTGAGGCTGGTCCGTGACTTGGAAAGTATTTATATTTTCATTCCAATCGCCGTACTTTCCCCTCTCCTCCGAGTAATCAACGTTACTACCAGCAGCACTGCCAGAGTCACCTCCCATGTAACTCTTAGATTTTTGAGGCGAAAATGATCCCCATATGTCGCGGTTATCGTGGATGTTGATGTTCTCGATGTAACGCCCAGCATTCTTGCCGCTGGATCTGCGGGATAATTTACGATTCTGGGGAGGATGATTGCGAGGAGGGTACTCATGCGGATCACTGAGAGAACGATAACTCTTCATAGGATAACGCTTCTCATTCCTTCTGTCGGTTTTCCCAACAGAATCTTCCAGGGAATGCACAGATATGTCGACATCCGCCGGGGCAATTCGCTCCTCGGGAGCCGATGGGTACTCGTAGTTGTCGCTTTCCTCCAAGTCGTAATCGTACTGAGGAATCTAATATTTAGAAAATTTTCATTTAATAAATAGAGCTTATCGATCAGCAGATTAATTTATTCAATTGCGTGATGGAATTTTCCAATGAATTGATAAATAATTGGTGTCATTGTCATCAGTAAATGTTAGAAATAGTGGAACGTTTGGAATTCTAATTTTGGGAATGAATTTGTAGAAAATTGATTATTCATGAATTCTTCATGGAATAAGGCAGTCATCTATAAAAACTTTAAATTGTTCAATTACTTTATGAATCTTTTTTTATAAAGTTGGTGTCAGTGGGGCAAAGTAGGACGTCCACGATCGAATTGGATTCTCATCAGCTTTGTTTCCCATTTTTTTCAGATTTACAAAATGTTTCCTATTGGTTAAAAATCAAGTCAAACAAAATCAAATTTGAATCTTTGATGTTTGCAGTATAAAATTGGCGCAAAATGTTCGGTAACCTAGGGTAACATAGAATTCAAATAGAATCTTCGATGTTTCACAACAAATTTTGGAACGGATTTCACTTGAATATCTTTAAGGTAATCCGACTACATGGAGAGAAATTCTTTATAAAAATTCGGGTGCGATTACTGAAAAAAATTTCAATCGATCGTCTACGAAAAATTCTAGTGCTGTTGAGATAAAATTTTTAGGGTTTTCTGCGAAAATTTCTACGGATTTCAGTGAAAAATTCATTTAAGTACGAGAAAAATTGAGGTCTTATCCAATAAAATGCCCAGAACTGGAATTTTTCCCTGGCCGTCACTTTGCGCCCGTTTCTCCGTGCTACCACTATGATTTTTCTAGAGAATTTCTCGCCGGTGTACCATAGTGTAGTTTTAGAAAATTTTATTCGTCAAATTTTGCGCTAAAATCACATATGAAATTCTCCGAAAAATTCTTAAATTATCAGCATGATCCAAATTATATTCTACAAAACATTCTGGTTCAAACTGTTCTCCTCACGATTAAGACAAATTTCTTGAGTTTTCGGTCAAAGAATTTATTACTAATTCGAAACAACTGATTCCTAGGGTACATGTTCGATTGGTTATCAATTATTCATGAGAAAATGTCTTGATTTTCAATGACACCATTTTCTAGTTATTTAATAAATCGTGAAAAATAAGATTTTCAATTTTGTAACAATTTTCAAAACGATTCGTAACTGTCATAAAAGGAGAATTAATAACAAACAAAATAAATAAACATAAGAAGAAACAAGTTCTTAAAAAATCTCTCAAATACCCTCAAATAATCTAATAAATTATTTGAACATGAAGCACAAACTTAAAAACTCCTCGTGAGTAATGAAGTAATGATAACCTCGGTAAAGAAATTGCGTTCTCTGCAAAAAAACAATTAAAATTAAAGCATAAGCATAACTAATAAAAAACAGCAAAAAACACGGCAATTATGAAAGCGTTGAATAACGAAAAAAATGATTGCTCCATTAAAAATTCAAAATAAATCTCCCAATTTTGCGTTTGACGATATTTTCTATACCTCCGATACCCTCCTCCCGTGATAGGGACCCGCATGAACGAATCCGCAGCAAGCCTACAGGAATAACAAAAAAAATTGAGTACTGAGATGAATCGCCATTATTTTCTCCTCTTTTTTTCTTTCTCAAATTATGGCTCCTACGTGATTGCAAGAACATTTGGCAGAGGCGCATGCCTCGGGTATCTCATCGTTGGTTACGATCAATTGAAAATTGAAGAGCGCACGCGCCTGCGGTACAATTGCACGCGAGGAACATAAATATGGAAGTTCAAGCTACCGATAGGTACATTCGAGAAAAAATAATGATGCCGGGGGTAATCATCGTGATTCTGATAACGGCCACCATTCAATTTAATTTCACGACGATAAAAGGTGCTCGTGGTATGAAATGCGCTAATTCAAAAACAACGAATGAGGTGACACATTGTGAAACGGAAATCATTGATTTTTCCAACGGTTTTATTGCTGAGATTTAATAATCTCTTGTTCGATTACATCATGTCGATAATTTTATGGTCATAGAGAATTTTTGTTGTATTTTCAGGAACATGTCACTGATTTTTAGGAATCTGTCACCAATTGGCTGTGATACTGGACACTGACTAGAATAACCGTGATGAACAATGATTTCCATCACTGAAATTTGTTGATAGATTCCTAAAAATTGGAGATTGGTCCCTGAAAATTTATGAATATTAGTGAGGATCACGGGAAATTAACGATTTCACTAAAAATTAACGACAAAATCACTGAATTCCAGAATTGCCAATGCCTAAAAATTGGGTATATATTCCTAAAAAATAGGAATAGATCCCTGAAAATCAGTGACATGTTCGTAGGAATACGTATTTTAACCGAAGGGGCTAGACGTCGAAAAAGCATTCATCAATTACGCGTTTTTCACCTCCAGCGTTACACTGACAGAGAAAATTAATTTTATGAAGAGAATTTTATATGAACCAACTATCATTTACTTGTTAATTTTCAAGTAAACATGATTTCATAGTGAATACCAGTGATCTCTTCTTGAGATACACTTAATTGGGAGAAATCGAACTTCTCTAGAATTGAAGTTCCTTCTACTTGTCGCTATAATGAGAGTATTTGATTTCTTCCTAGCCAAAAGTTTGCTAACTCCAGAAATTCGTTGGCTTACTTAAAAATCAAAATCATTCTCATGGCTAAACACGTTTAATCTCAACACGATCATACGTTGTTCCAAGTAAATTATAATTGAAGTGAGCATTTCGTAGGCCGAATTAGGATGAATATTGTTACGCGGAAAAAGCTTTGAGATTGTAGTAAGATGTCGTTGAGTTGAAAGAAGTTTATATTTTCTTGATATAAAAAAATCGCATTAGTTTACAGTACCAGAATCACAGATTACAGCAATTCAACACAAACTTGGATATCACAAATTTTGTTCAATGTGATGTACGGAAAGCTCAATTTAAACATCGGCTTCATTCGAGAAAACAACATTCAATTCATTCCTCAATGTAATCATCTCCTATGTACAAATTTTTGATCAATTTACGAAAGTAGAAAATTTCTCGACTGGAGATTATATTAGGTTAAAAAAATAGAACTTTTCCATTTTTGGGGTGAATACATGTGACTTGCCGCCAAGGACTGTTTTATTTGATTCAAGTAGATGTATCTCAAGAAGAAATAATTGATATTTACCGTAAGATCGTACACTGAGAGAAAAATATGATTCTTCTGACTATATTCCATAACCATCGCACTCTAGTCAAAAAGTCCTCAACAATTTCTCATGGGTTACGGTAACTATGGCCGGAGAAGTGATTACTACAATGGAATGTAGTCATTGCTACTATTTTATAGTTCTGCTCACGATAGATTTGTCGTGGTTACTTTTGAACTTTGGTAGTTTAACTGCATTTTGATTTGCAAAAATTACGCTTGTGAAGTTACTACAATGTTATGTGTCGCATACAAAAAAAATCGTATCCTTCACCAAAACTGCCTCAACTATTTTCTTATAGTAAATCAAACTTCAGATTTTTCTCTCAGTGTATTCATTTGAAATTGGTTCAAGTATATAATACTTGTTCCAAGAAAGGACCATCTCAATAAAAATAATTTTTTCTGTCAGTGTAGACAACTATCAAACGTCGACGGTACTGCGGATAAATACGGGTGGCCGATCCATTTATGAAAGCTGCATATGCCCATCCAAATATACGGGATTTAGCTGGACATTTCAACGAATTTTTGCACGAATCAATACGACGTATTATACATTGGTTTTCTACCATAGTTTACGATCAAATTCCGACGTCTTTTCTACCACTCAACGTTTACTGGGCTGGAGATGAAGACTTTCTTTTCTCTATGAAGATTTGAAATTAGCTAGTTTGATGGAGTTTTTTTTGCACGGAGAGAAATATTCAATAAAAATTACGTATCTTTTCCGTAATTCCGGAGCGAAATGTGGCTGTAGGAAATTTTACGGAACTGTCACGGAATTTTTCCAGAGCGTGCCGTAATTTTTATCTGAATCTCCTGTGAAAAATGGTACCGTCTGTGACGGTATCGTAATTTGTCACAGGAGATTCAGATAAAAATTACGATACCGTCATTCAAATTTTTTGAGTCCATTCCGTAATCGGTGAGCGAATTGTGAGTTCCGTAATTTTTACTGAACATTTCTCTCCGTGGGGCGATTTTTGAATTCATATCTTGAATTAATTGTATCTTATGTCATAAGGCGATAAAAGTATTATCTGGCGAACATGAGTAGTCCGAGCCGAAGGCGAGGATTATAATCACATTCGCGAAATAATGCTTTTATCCCCGTGTGACATACGATATTTTACGTCGTTGGGCCCGAAAACCGCGATCTAACTGAGCGAAGCGAGGTTAGAATCGCGGTTTATCGGGCCTAATGACATAAATTAAATTAATTGAATGCTGTACTGAACCACAATTTTTATTAGTCCATCCTCGTATTACTCTGTTTCCATTGGAGTAAAAGTTGGAAACGTTGATCTCAGTAGTAATAAAACAATTTTTTTTCAACGCCAGTGGGTCATGAAAAGTGTGGAGCAACGGATTCTCAAACGAAAATAAAATTGCGGCTTACCACAATAATTAAAAGAATTGCAGACGACATTTCCCTGCAATGAAATTCCCGCCCCGAGTTTCCCGTTGATCTTCACTCGCTATACTCGCTATAAAATTTCTCTGCTCTCGTCTTCACTCCTCGCGTCCAATTATCTCAGCCTGAACTCTCGTTTTTTTATTAATTCTCTCGTACCCCAGTCGCAGCCTCCAAACGACGAGAACTGCGTGAAAGCGCCTCTCGCACGTTGCTAAAGTGCAGAATCACGGGAGGCTGAGAGCCGGGCTCTTTCGCGGACCTTGATACTTCTGGTCCCCACCATTTACTTTTTCATATGCAATTAAACCCACGCCTGTGAATTGGAAGACCTGTGACATTGTGAATTTAAAATTTTAGCCTCTCTATTTTCAGTTTCAGTGGGCTGTTAAGATTGTGATAATTATATGGTATCAAGGGGAGAGAGTGAACTGAGTAGGACGAAATGGAAACGATTGGAATGGAAGTACGGGGTATTTTCAACTGATAGAATAGAGGCAGTGGTGATTTTTAGTGTCACCAAGGTCAATATTGAAATTCATTTGGAGCGATTGAGACTGGTTCAGGGGTCCGATAAACTCTTTAATTGAAATTTACGTCATTTTAATTATACTTTTTTTTCATTGAAGCATGTCTGGGGTTGAAGCTGTTTCAGAAGCAGGAAATAATTTACCTCATTTTCTGTTTCATATCATTTAAAACAGGTTTCATTCGCATTTGAGTAGGAAACAAGGGGAAATTAAGCAAATGCAATAAAAATTACCAGAAAAAAAAGCGTAAAAATTACGTTTCGAAACGTAATCCGCGAGTGAAGTCAAATTCAGTAAGAAGTGTGAGTCGGAACTGAAATTGTACGAATCGTCACGTAAATTCTACGCGTTGTTCCGTAAAAATTAACCACCCGCCTGATGACTCACTGCTGTGTGGACAACAAGTCGTTCCGTAATTTTTCCCCAACGATTGAGAAATTTTACGGAACGGAACGTAGAAATAACTCACCAGTTTCATAAAAATTGTTGAACGTTCAAGAATTTTTGATTTTGGAGGCATAATGAGTCGGTACACGGAGAGAAATATTCAGTAAAAATTACGGAACTCACAATTCACTCACCGATTACGGAATCGACTCAGAAAATTTAAGTGAGGGTATTGTAATTTTTCACAGGAGATTCAGATAAAAATTACGGAACGGTCTGGAAAAATTCCGTGACAGTTCCGTAAAACTTCCTACAACCACCCTTCGCTCCGGAATTACGGAAAAGATACGTAATTTTTATTGAATATTTCTCTCCGTGTAAGTTTCTGTAAGATTTTACTTCTTCGGGAAAAATTACGTGACAATTTCGTACTTTGTTCTGTGATGAACCTGAAAATTCACTGAACGTTTCGGATTTCTTCGCTTCCATTCCTATAAAAATTGTCGGAAAACGATTCCCCATTGCGGATTACGTAAATTGTTCCGTAATTTTTACTGAATATTTCTCTCCATGAGCTCGAGAATTAATTAAGTTTACCAAGGGGGAATCATTCAGAATATAGAAGGACACCCAATGAGGATTGCCTGGGAATGACTCGACTGGAGAAATACGGTAGTGAAAAAACAGATACTTCTCTCAAACAAATGGATATTTGGCAAAAATAATTTTTTTTCTCTGTGTATATAAACTCCTGTCTCTAAAGACTGGTGCAATATAGTATGTTCGTTGAATGTACATAGAAAGAAATTTTTGTACAAAAAGGAAATAAATTTTTTTTTTTAAATATAAACTTTTGTCTTCAGTGAAAATTAAAAATTAAAAACCAGAATTAGAAATTTTTTGATTTTCCTGCCAAACTTGACACTCTCGTTTGTTATAACAATGAAGTTATCGGTAAATGTCCCATAATTTCGAAGCATTCGAGGTGTTACGACCGATTATTGACTATTAATTTATGAAGATGATGAGTTCATCCGAGTGCAGATAGTCAAGTGTCATTAACCTGCAAATTCGTCCCCCATAACAGGCTTGGAAGGCCTTCCTCTTCACTCCTTTCACGAAAAACCCTGGTAGTGCCGCTGAACCCGTGCAATCTCGACCATTGCTCAAATACATCGATCATCGACGATAGTGCGCAAGAGTAATCACGATACGAGAAGAATGCTGTGTGTGTGTGCACACAGCGAATCTTTGAAGGTTGTTAACCGTGATAGGGCGAACTCTGTACCAATATCTCGGGTGAAAGGAATTCATTCTTTTATGAAGTTCTTGCTAATGCTGAATTTTTCTGTGAGACAGTCTTGTTGTGATCGGCACCGCGAAAAAGTCGGGACGGGAGAAATTGCCAAGATTCTACAAAAAATATTGACTCCTGTCACCTTCTGGGAGAAAGGGTCCAATTTAAAAAAATCTTCGTCTATATATAGTTTGAACAATCGCGGAGACATAATTTCAAAATCATGTGGCTTATTTCAGCGATTTTAATAGTTTGTGTGATTAAAGTATTGGTTGATTGGTACAGACCCAAAAATTTTCCTCCAGGTAATGAATAATTCCGAAGTTAATGGGATTATTACTCAATGAATTTTTTAAATTCTTCATTACATTTTTTTATTGTTATGAATGAAGACAAATGGTTGTTAAACTCGTATTTTTTAATTAAAAGAAAACACTGCTGTTCGCTTCGCTCGGTTAGATCGCGGTTTATCGGACCTAATGATATAAAAATATTTTTCGATTAGCCAAATAATCGGCAGTGTTCCGAACTCAATTGTTGATTGATAAAGCAATTTGGAATTTGAATATTTCAATTGATGATTGATAACATAATTCGTAATTTGAGTGTTTGAATTGATCGTTAATTTAATAATTGACAAATTGGTGCGTAATATTAACAATTGACTGCACAATAAAAAATCCGGTGTGGACTTCCTGGGACACCGATTGGTGTTGAATTAACACCAGATTTTACATGCGATGTTCTATGGTGCGGCAACTCCACACCAAAAACGGTGTGGACTCATTGGGACAAAGATCAGTGTCAATTTAACATCAAATTTTTTATAGTGTGATTCAAAATTTATGACTAAAAGTCATGAAACGAATTTGAACGAAAGAAACGACCAAAATACTTTGATATCCTCAATTAACAATAATTACATGGCAATTTCTAACCAAATATTGACATTGACCAATGGTACTGATATTATTTAATTCGAGCTAATATTGTTTATCGTACGTTCGCATCCCATGATTCACTGTTAGAAAATTCTTGAAATTTCAATTACAATGTCATCTGAATTTTCAATGTTGTGAGTTTGAATTCAATTTCAAATGAAAACGTTCACTAAATTTCTGAATCATCTTGAAAATTCAAGAAAATTGGGTTTTTCACGTTGAAGAATCATTGATTTTTCAATGAAAGCTTGAATTTCCAAACTCATCGTGAAAATTGAACATCACATACAACTCAATTTTAAATAGATTGAAAATTCAGACAAGTTATTGCCAGAATTTTCAAAATTTTCAAGGTTTTCCAGTGCCGTATGGACCTGAAAATCGAGAATTACCTGAATATTTACAAAATTAACTGATTCGTCAATGAAGAATTCTACAGAAATTTCATGTGACTTTGTCGTTGTTAAAAATTTCAAGCTTTTTCACTCGAAATTTCAAGAGTAATTTTCTAACATGTTGTTCCTCACGAAAAACAACCTGCCAAAACCCCAATTGAGAGATATTCTAGGACCTCGTGGATTACCGTTTGTCGGGAATATTTTGGACGTACAGAATTTAGTAAAACAGACTGGTTCCCATGGAATCGCGTGGTGTCAGTTGGCGAAGCAATATGGCTCCGTCGTGGGACTGCGTCTGGGCCTGGCAGATCCGCTGATCATCGTTTCCGGCCGGGAGGCCGTTATGGAGATGCTAGGGCGACAGGAGTTCGACGGCAGGCCGAATGGCTTTATATTTGCTCACAGAACTATGGGGGAGAGGCGAGGGGTTTTGTTTACTGACGGAAAAATTTGGAATGATCAGCGAAGGTAAAAAGAATACAAAAACTATCCATCGAAAAATTGAAAACAGAACAGCAACACAGACCGACATTAAAAATATTACTTTTCAAGCTTTCTATTTCCACAACACAATTGATACTTGAGGAGGGTAAACACAAGGGTAAAGATTATTTCCACTTGTTTTATAAAAGTAGCAAATAACTATGATTTTTTAGGTTTCGAAAATTATCTAGGGAAACACACGTATGAAAAAATTCAATAGAAAATCTAGCGAATTAGCTAGAAAATTCTATTGGAATTCTGTAGAAATTCTATGGAGTTTCTATAGAATTTTTATTGGAATTCGACATAAGAAAAAGTCAATAGACTTCGAATTTCAGTTTGAATTTTTCTTTTGAGATTTTTCTATTAGAACGCTTGGGCATCAATTTTCTAAGTTTTTTCCACTCGGATTGTGTAACACAAAACAACAAAATCCAGTGGAAAAAACTTAGAAAATTTGTGCCCAATAATTCTAATAGAAAAAATCGTAAGCGAAAAATTCGAACAGAAATTCAAAATCTATTGAGTTTTTCATATCAAATATGCAATAGAATCAGCGCAAAAAACAAGTCGACTTTTTCAAACGAATTCCAATAGAAATCCTATAGAAACCCGATAGAATTCCTATAGAATTGCAATGTAATTTTGAAGCGAATTCCCTTTTTTTTTAACTTTTAACGATTTTTATTAACCTCAATGATACAACAAGACAGCAGGTATACATTGTTAACTTACGGCTATTTTACATAGTCTCAACCCTCGGGCTTTTACTCATATGTAGCTTCAAGGTTCAAACGTAAGGATTCAAACGTAACGTGGGGATAATTATGATATAGGGAAAAATAGGTAAAAAACCCTAATTAGCGAATTCGCTAGGTTTTCTATCCAATTTTTTCATGCGTGGATTGTTTGGGTGAATAGAGCTCGTTCTAATCATACTAATACAGCAAGTTCTCTCCATCGCACAAACGTTGTAAATGACCCAAAACGCTTTTGTGGTCGTCCAGAAGAACATTTCAACCACATTGTGTGGGATTGCTTCAAATATCAAAATAATAGGGCTAAAATGTTTTGCGCAAAATACAAAAACATATGCAACTTCCAGGTCACATCAATAGTACAGTACAGTCATTGAAGTTACCCGTTATAAAAACTATAGATAAATTTCTAAAAGATTACAATTTGAAAATCTAAATTTAATGTGTAAAAATACATACAACAACATCTAGTATTGTAACTCTTCTGTAATTTCTTCAAGCGAATAAATCCTACACGGATGTTCAAAGGATTAATTATAAGATAGACATATTACTTTTCAGATTCTCTTTGAGAAATTTGAGAGATTTCGGATGGGGCACTCAAACGATGGAGGAATTGATATTAGAAGATGCGGTGAACCTGATAAAAGTTATCGCCGAAGCTGCAAAAAAAGGAGTCATCGAAAACTTGAGTCAATTCACCTCTTTAGCAGTTCTTAACAGCATTTGGTCTTTGATTGGGGGTTTCAGGTAGCATATTCAGTAATTTTTCTGGAAGCAATACGAATCGAAAAGAACTACGAACGTGGAACACGGATGAAAAATCAAGGAAAAATTGCATTTTAACGCTTGTAATCGCGTGGCGGAATACTTCGTTCAGCAATTTTTACGATCATTTCCCCCATCACCCTTCCGACCAATAGAATTGCGGTATTCGACGTCCCGTGGACCAATCAGACGAGAATTACATCGATTTCTTCCTCAAAAATCATTCATCAAAATTCATAAAAAATTGAATCTCAGTGAATTTGTGATTGGTTCTTTCCGCATTTTTTCTATCCTCCTTGGCCCCATGCATGTTTCAGCTCACAGTTTTTCCGCGCAAAAAAAAGGAATTTTTACTAATACTTCCTGATAATTCGCGCAGAAGACAGTGATTTTTATGGCACCGAAAGGAGGCGCCAATGATGATTAAGTTTTAGAACGTAATTTTTGCGGAATTTTCATGGTACTTTTTTTTCAAAAGTAATTTCTCGATGTACGCACAATGAAATTATCAAGGCAACTCCAATTTTCGAAGTTGATACTCGAGGAGAGACTACTGTGAGTTTTAAACGTCGTGATCTTTTGGAATGAGAAAAATTTAGGAAAAAAAAAACCTTTGTAGCTCAAAAATTTGAGGCCTTGGACTATTTTTAACGTGTTGAGCGTCTGCGGAGCTAACGAACGATTCCAATTTTGTACTAATTCTTCGTTTTCAGACATTTATAATCGATCTTGAATGCATGAAAAATCTCATTCCAAGAGCTCGCGACATTTAAAACTCATATTAGTTTCCCCGTAAATTAATTTTCATTATTAAGGTATTCAGAAGCATGTGAAATCACGTGAAAAAATGCATTCTATTCACCATGACACAACGATTAATTTTCTGTGTGCCTTCAAGGTACGACATATCAAAAGGCGACCCAAAATTAGTAGAAACCCTAAAAATGCTGAATGCGGCTGTGAAAGAATCTAGTGTCTCCGGCGGTTTGCTGAATCATCTCCCATTTCTGAGGCACATAGCACCCCAGTTCTCGGGTTACAAAGCCATTACGGAAAGACTACGTCTTATGTGGTCATTCTTTGCCGTAAGAATTTTTCAAAGAAAATCCAGAAATATCTAACTCACTTTCATCCATCAACAGTTACAAGATGATATTTTTAAGGACGAGGTAACATCACACAAAGACACACGTCAGTCCGGGGTTCACAGGGACCTGATCGATGTGTATCTAGAAGAGATCGAGGCGAGGCATGGGGACCCCACCTCAACATTCAATGGTAAAGTTTCAGAATTAGATTTTCCATGTCCCTGTGAGTGAAATTTTCGAGACAGAATTGTTTTTGCCAAATGATTCTCAATTTATTCCATTTTGCTTGACAAGAAAATTCCACACATTGCGTCGCCTGCTACGTTGAGAGGAGAGGAAACATGTTCTCAAAAAAGTGTCATTTGAACCAAAAATAAGTGGGAAACTGCTTTCGTCATACACTGTCAGAAATTTTTTGTCACTGCTGCTACGTTCAGCCCGTGTCGAAAAGTGCCTTTTCGTTTACATGTTTCGACAACTTCACACTCGTTGCCACCCCGTCGCACTTGTATCGAAGTATACTATTTCGAAATTTCATGGAAAATATGCTAGGAATTCTCATGAGAATGACATTGAATCTGATTTAAGGGAAAATGATTATGAAATTTCGCATTTTAGGTAGAATGCAAGGAAAGCCACGAGTTTTCAGGGGAGTGAGGCGGAAATTTTACAACCTGACTGAATTTTCAATGGAACGTGAATAATCATAAACAAAATTACATGAATTTTCAATTTTTCCCTGAATTTTCCTGGTTTTTCTAAATTTCTTTTTCTGAATTACACTGAAAAATCAGGTATTTTATTAATTTCCCGAGCATTTAAACGGAAAATCAATAGAATGTTTGATGTTTCTATGACAAGATTTCCTGAAATTTCAGTCGAACTTGAATACGATAAAAATTTCCTGAATTTGATACGGAAAATGCAGACGAAAATTTTTAATAGTCTCGGCGCAAAGTTAGATTTCCCATCTAACTCGTTGATTTTCAGTCAGGGAAATGTGTACTTTGCGCCCGCCGGGGCGAAACAGTATATTGCGATAGGAGTGGGACGGAATTTTAAGCTCGTGTGATTGTCACTACTTTCCACCCGTGAAAATTCCCCTCTTACATGTGTTGAAGAATATTTTCTAATAGTGATGTTACTTTCAGCGAGTGGCCGAACTGCACCTTTTTCCTTTACAACTAAACGAAAAGACTTTTTCATCACGCTGTGACGAAAAGTGAACTTTTCGGCACGCTCCGCGTGCCTAAAAGTCCAATTTCCGCCACATTGTGATGAAATAGTATATTTCGTAACGAGTGCAAAAAACATTTTTTCACGAGTTACGAACAATATTGTTCATCACAATGTGGCGGAAATTGGACTTTTAGGCACGCGGAGCGTGCCGAAAAGTTCACTTTTCGTCACAGCGTGATGAAAAAATTATTATCTCAGATGACACCCAAGAAGTCAATCGCGCGTTGACGTTCAGCTAGAAATGGTTTTCCTGTAGATTCTTTATTATAATTCCCCCTTTTCTCCTTCAGAAATGCAACTTGTGGCTCTTATAAAAGACTTCTTCAGTGCTGGAGTCGACACAACGACCAATAGCATTGGCTTCGCCATCGGATACCTGGCGATCACACCGGAAGTGCAAGATAAAGTCCAGGAGGAATTGGATAGAGTATTAGGAAGAGAGAATTTACCATCTGTAGCCGCTCGACCATCGTGAGACATTCCTTGTTCAGTCCTTTCTAATACTTCAAGTAGTATTAGAGAAGGAGAAAATCGCAGAATTGTTCGGAATTCTATTTCGAAACTTCGGTAAAGGGGGTAATTGCAATTTCAGGCTGCCTTATATGAATGCAACACTCGCGGAGGTTCTGAGATTGGCAAATATCGGACCTACTTCGATTCCACACAGAGCTGTTGTGGACACTCAGCTCAAGGGCTATGATATTAAGAAGGATTCTATGATGCTGGCGAATTTAATGAGTGTCCATCAGGACAAAGAGCACTGGGGTGATCCCGACGTTTTTCGACCTGAGAGGTTTCTTGATGAAAATAATCAGTTCATTAATGATCCTTGGGTTGTCGCTTTCGGGGCAGGTTGGTTTAATTCAATACAAGGAGAGAAATATTCAGTAAAAATTACGGAACAATTCACGTAATCTGCAATGGGAAATCGTTTTTCAGTAATTTTTATAGATATGGAAGAGAATAAATCTGAAACGTTCAGTGAATTTTCAGGGTTAGCATCGAACAAAGTACGAAATTGTCACGTAATTTTTCCCGAAGAAGTAAAACCGTACAGAAACTTGCCGACTTATTATGCCTCCAAAATCAAAAATTCTTGAACGTTCAACAATTTTTATGAAGCTGGTGCGTTATTTCTACCTTCCGTTCCGTAAAATTCCTCAATCGTTGGGGAAAAATTACGAAACGACTTGCTGTCCCCACTGCGGTGAGTCATCAGACGGGTGGTTAATTTCTACGGAACAAATCGTAGAATTTACGTGGCGATCCGTACAATTTCAGTTCCAGCTCTCACTTTTTATTGAATTTTTAAACTTTTACACTCACTTTTACACTTACTTCTACACTGAGAGAAACATTTCCTAATATCTACACCAAATTTACGTGAGAGAAGTAAATTATTTATGTCGCGCCGTGCAATAAGTCAAGTTTATCGCACACTGTGGTTCGCGTAGCGTAGCTTATTTATTCATTTATTATGAATACAGTAAAACGGATGCTTAACTTTATTCTTTGAAGTGCAACAAATATTTTTAAAAAAGCGAAATTCGTATAAAAACTACGGCGCAAGGAGCATTTTGAAAGTAAAAACAGAAAAAATGAAGTTTTCCTGGTTATACAGGGCAAAATCGATCGGGTCCGCGATTTTCCCTAGTTATTCCCATATTCCGTCATATATCGCCTACTGTTCAATGGATCCCAAGGCCCAGAGAAGACTTTTAGATTTCACCGACGTATCCCCTCAAATCTACAATGTTTGCGCTTCACGGAACTCGAATAAATTCTCATTTATCACTATTGTTACATCATGAATATATTACATATCGTCACATGGGAAGCGCATAAAAAAATCATGCACTGAGAGAAAAATATGATTCTTCTGACTATATTCCATCACCATTGAACTATAATCAAAAAGTCCTCAACAATTTTGCATGAGTTACGGTAACTATGACCGGAGAAGTGATTACTACAATGGAATGTAGTCATTGCAACTATTTTATAGTTCTACTCACGATAGATTTGTCGTGGTTACTTTTGAACTTTGGTTAATTTAGCTGCATTTTGATTTTCAAAAATTACGCTTGTGAAGTTACTATAATGTTATGTGCCGCATACAAAAAGAAATCGTATCGTTCACCAAAACTGCCTCAACTATTTTCTTATTGTAAATCGAACTTCAGATTTTCCTCTCAGTGTGGAAACAATAAATACTTGAAGATTGACAATTCTTCTAGACAACCTAAGTGAGTTCATTAGTGATAAAATACTTGAGTACAGGGATATTTGGAATATTTCAAAGCATGAGACCTTTCTCGGGCCACATAAGTTGAGATACCAGGGAGAATTAAGCAATTGAAGAAAAATGACTTGTCTCAAGTAAATATGTTTTAGATATTAGAATTTTTTCTCAGCGTAGTGTATTATTTAATCGTCATTCGCATGACAAAATTCCAATGAAAATCCTGGCGCATTTATTACGAACATCTCTCATGATAGACGGGAGTTTATACAGAGTTCTACATCTTGCGACGTCAAAGGATATTATTGGTTACTTACAACAAAATACTCATGTTAAACTCATTACATTCAGCCACTTTAATACACACATATGTATTTTTATACGATAATTCATGGATTTTACTTTCTAAGATTGAAAAACGAATATTCTTCCATCACTCTAGGTCGAAGAAAATGTTTGGGCGAAGGTCTGGCGAGAAATAGTCACTTCCTCTTTGTCTCGTGTTTACTTCAGAAATTCAACTTTTCACTTCCTCCGGGTCACAGTGCGCCCGCAATGCAAGGAATGGACGGTTTCACCCTCTCCCCGCCAGTTTTCGATATCATCGTAACCCCCAGACCATTGTAATAGTATTGTAATAGTCAGACGCATGTACTCTATTTATTCGTATAAAAAGTTACAGCTTAGTGCTCTTGAATAAAAACTTTGTTTTCGTTGTTGTGTCCCAGATATTGTAACAAATATTATTGAAATAATGCAATTATGAAGAAATTAGGAGTTAGCATCGTATTACAACACGAATCCGTTTTGTAATACGAATCGAGGCAAGTGTGCCACGGTTTCCAATAAAACCGAGAACACACTGGACTCAGGAGTTCATTTTTAGTTCATTAGTTCACTGTCAAGATTATCGATGAAGTTCATTACCGAATTAATCATTCGAACTCAGTTTTGTATCGAAGTCAACCGTTACTCTTTAGTTAGAAATAAATAAACTAAAGTATCTTAAACTGCTGAGATTGAGTCCATATTACTCGACCTTTCTACCGTATATTACATCGTGAAAATTTTAAATTTATTATTTTTCATTCTACCGACGGCCGTGGCTGTGTGGTTAGAGTGTGAGATTGGTATGCGGGCAACTTGGGTTCGATTCCCGGTTGGGGAGGCAAAAATTTGTGACGCTCTAATCTCACGGTTGCACACGGAGAGAAATATTCAATAAAAATTACGTATCTTTTCCGTAATTCCGGAGCGAAATGTGGTTGTAGGAAATTTTACGGAACTGTCACAGAATTTTTCCAGAGCGTTCCGCAATTTTTATCTGAATCTCCTGTGAAGAATTACGATACCGTCAGTTAAATTTTCTAAGTCGATTCCGTAATCGATGAGCGAACTGTGAGTTCCGTAATTTTTACTGAACATTTCTCTCCGTGCACTATCGAGCGGGAGTCTCGCAAGAGACGACTGCCCCTCGGCAGGTGTTTTCCTCAAATGAGGGAAAAACCCCCTAAAAAAAAAAATATCCCCTAAATTGAATTTTCCGCTGACGAATGTTATGCTAGTTTCAACTTCATGCCAAGAGACGAACTTTTTCTTTCACATTCGTGTACGGAAAGTTCGCACTTTCCTCCCGCTCATCAGAAAGCAAAATACGAACTTTTCTTTGCCGGCGTGTTAAAAAATATCATGTGCACCTCCGGCGGGAAAAACCTGAATTTCCGCCCTTGGTGCACCATCTACTATTTTGCACTTGCATCTTAAGATACTATTGTCACTCAATCTGCCTGAAAAGTGTCTACAAAAATGTCTGAAATCCAGGCATCAGTTTTTGCACTGATGGAAGCGGTTGGGTTGATTATCATAAAAAACGTAAAACCACTTAAAACCATTTTACCAATAGAACCTATCAAGAAAAGGTTTTGTTTCTTTATTCCAAAGTTGATAATATAGTTCAAAAATTGATCTTTGTACAGTGGCCGACAGTATCCAAGCCTCAATATTCACCAAGGAATGTACAAAAATGCGTATAAATGTTTTCAAAAATATAACACTGGAGGTATAAAACATTCACGTCCGCGACACTCCTTGCGCCCAAGATCTCCTAACCCTGGATCTTCTCCTGCAGCAGCTTCTCGAGTTTCCTCATATCGACGGCAAACTTACGGATACCATCGCTGAGCTTATCAGTGGCCATCTGGTCTTCGTTCAGAAGCCATCTGAATTGTGCCTCTCCGAGGCTTATCTTTTGCAGATCACACTTCTTAGCGGCTTCCAGACTCAGTGCCTTCTTAAGGGGCTCTTGGCTCTTCTCGAGATCCTCCAAGAGCTTTGGACTAATTGTCAAGAAGTCACAACCAGCTAGCTCTTTGATTTCACCAACGTTGCGGAAGGATGCGCCCATTACGACTGTTTTGTAGCCGAATTTCTTGTAGTAGTTGTAGATTTTTGTGACTGAGATGACTCCAGGGTCTTCATTTGATTCATACGTCTTCTTATCTGTATTTGCGACGTACCTGGGAGAATTTAACAATTTTTCATTTACATTTTATGCTTTTTTATTGTTACTAGTTTAGATCGCGCGCGTATGTCCTATTCCATGAGGCTTTATGTATGTCAATTGTAGTGAATAGTGTTATATATTATATAATACACCCAGTGTAACGTTCTTTGAAGCCAATCTAGCCGGCGTATTGTATCATTAGATTTTTTGTAAATGATGATTATAGCATACATTAAAGATATGACGGTAATAGTATATTACATTATATTCTATACTGTACTATATTATATATACTATGGATAATAAAGGACATCTTTGGGCTCGTCGTCAGCGTGCTGGCACTATAAACCAAAGCGTCCCAGTAGCGCAGGTTCGAGTCCCGGTGATGAAAGATTTTTTCATCGCCGGAAAACGAACCCAGTGCAATGTGGAGTTAGTTATGTGGAGTTAGATATAAGTTAGCTTAGACGCAAGTGCGGGTAGGGAATTAGGCTGCGGTACCGCGTAGGTACTGGGACGGGTAGGTAAAAGACCACAACGGTCATCATACCATCTGACACCACCCAATTTTTTTTTTTACTGTGGATAATATACAATATATAATAGAGTATTATATGTATTATAACATATAATGTACATAATCAAAAAAATTAGCTAGTAAACTGGTAACAAAAATGACATACATTGAGGATACGATATTGTGCTATATTACATACACGATTATATATGCATAATGTATTATAATATGGTATTATTGTAATATCTTTGATCTATGCTATCGTCATTTATAAACATCTAATGACACAATACGACGAATAGATTGGCTTCAAAAAATGTTACACTGGATTTTTTATTTAATGATTTATTGCGATGATGATCAAGATTTTAAATGGTTAGATCTCACCATTCTACAGGATCGGGATTTGAACTCTGAACCTTTCGCATGTGAGGCAACGAACTTACCCACTGCGCCAAGCCACCGGGCAAACGGATGGATATGAATTTCATTGATACATTTAATTGTAATATTTTTCGAAAAAGAATGAAGGATTGAATGAAGGAAGAATGAAGAATCCTCTAAAAAAAACAAATCCCTCAGATGCATCATGGAAAGAAAAGAAGAGTGGACACCCCCAAATGTTGTTATTATTGTTTTTTTTCAGTACTAATTTGTAATAATTGAACGTAAGTGTTTATACACAGAGGAAATATAAAATTACTTTCTACTATGTGGACATAGTAAAAATTGCGAGCCAGTATAGTTGAAAGTGGTATAATAAAAGTCCTATTTACTAAAGATGAAAGAAACGTAAAGTTGTTTTATATCGAAATATCTCGAAACTGCCTGACCGCTAATCCTTAATTCTGATTGGTCAATATGTGACACAAAGTTATTCACAAAAAAAACGCGACATTTTCAAATTCTTCAGTGACATAATTTCAAATTCTTCAGTGGTAAATTTTTTTTCACGTCATACATATATATATAATATATATATTTCACATATATATATATATATATATATATCATCGGTGAAATTAATAAATTCTGTCCTTTTATGGAGACCGATTATTTTAAAAAATTGAAGATAATTAATTGAAAATGAAAAATTCTTTATATATTCTTTTACTCTACTTGGCTATTCACTTCAATCATTAGTCGAATTCTCTTTGATGCATTATCAGTATTTATAAGGTATTCATGAGAAAATGAAATTCAATGAATTCCATTTCTTCATTTCAACAAATGAATAGATCAGCACGCGCGAGAGCACGCGCATAGATCTTGTAAAATTTAATTTGGCACGAGTAAAAATTCGGTTAAGACCAATTAAATTTTAAAGTTGTTTCGGTATGGTCCTGGATTGCGATGTTCAGATTGTAATTTTTGATTTTATATTCTCTCCGTGTAGGATCCCTTTATTTCTTATCGTTTCTGAAAGAACAGCAATCACTCGGTCAATGTTCTTCAAACAGACCCATGATCTGTTGTTTTTTAGAGGACACGCTATTGCCGTACATAAGTGGTTAATGATTTCTTTAAAAATCCGCTATTCATGAGACAATTCCACTTTCTATCTTGTTCATTCATTCACTTCCTTCAATTATGCCATTCTCATTCTATCGGATCTTATATTTCACTATTCAAATGAAGAAATAACTCACCAGTCAAGGATACGTCCGACGAACGGTGAAATCAGAGTGACACCAGCCTCGGCACAAGCGACGGCTTGAGCAAAGTTGAAAAGCAATGTCAAGTTGCAGTGGATCCCATACTTCTCCTCCAATTCCCTGAGAAAAATGACCAAATGAAATATAAATAAACAGTATAATTCAAGGGAGAATTCCACTGATTGCACGCATGAAAAAATTCAATAGAAACCCTAGCGAATTCGGTAGAAAATTTTATTGAAATTCTATAGGAATTCTATGTTTTTTATAGGATTTCTAGTGGAATTCTGTTGAAAAATTCCATTTGTTTTTTGCGCTGATTCTATTGGATATTCAATAAGAAAAAGTCAATAGATTTCGAATTTCTATTTGAATTTTTCTCTTAAATTTTTTCTACTAGAATTATTGGCCACAAAATTCTCCAAGTTTTTCCTGCTGGATTTTGTGTTGTTTTGCATTGTAGAATCGGAGTGGAAAAAACTTGGAAAATTGATGCCCAAGCATTCTTATAGAAAAAATCTCAAGAGAAAAATTTAAACAGAAATTCGAAATCCATTGACTTTTTCATATCGAATATCCAATAGAATCAGCGAATAAAAATAAATAGAATTTTTCAATAGAACTCCCAATAGAAATCCTATAGAGTTCTAAAAGAATTTTCTAGATTTTCTATTGAATTTTTTCATACATGTGGAATGTTATGTTTTCCTTACTTAGCTGCCTGGATGCCTTCCCAGGTAGACGCGAGCTTGATCAAAATTCTCTCCTTGCTGATTCCTGCCTCCTCATACAGAGCAATCAACTTCTTGGCTTTCTCGATACTAGCTTCTTTATCGAATGATAATCTTGCGTCAACCTCGCTCGAGACCCTTCCTGGGATGATGTTCAGGATCTCCTGACCGAAGAGCACGCAGGTCATGTCCATAGCGGCCTCCACTTGCTCAGCAAGGGTACTATAATTTGAGTACACAATCAGGATCTTCATTCAATTAATTATTTATTTACATAGTTCACGTCTGTGAACCGTTTCTCATACGTAGTGAAGTGGTACAACGAAATCATCCAACCCAATTTGAGAATGTGTTTCTGTGATGAGAGGAAATCTTTCAAAGAAGCTTGTTTGTAAAGCGTGGGAGAGAGGACAAAGTAGAATTTCCCAACGCTTTTTTCATGTTTAGGTATTATCGTTTTTACTTTGGAATGAGACGTGCCTCGAATATCAAATCGGACCATTTGTCCCGGCCATATTTACTATTCAAGATTGTCCGTCATTACTATTCCATGTTATATTCCTTTTATATCTCGGTGTTTGAATTTTTAGCCGAGGAACATCATGTATTCACTTATATTCACTTTGTATTTGAACAGTATTGTAAGTTAGTCGGACTCGTGTTCTCCGGACGGAAATTCCCGGAAAAATTTTCTGGAAGCGAGGAAAAATACAAGTAAAATAAATGGAATAAAGGTGATCCGTTGTACCCCATTCTCCTTTAAAAAAAGTCTGAATGAAAATTTCACTTCAAAAATCAATGTAGCTAGACAGTCCTTGACAATACTATTGGGAAAAGATTGAAATTTCATGGACAGTTGACTAGTAATTTTCAGGGGCATCGTAATAATTTTCAGGGTCACTGAAAATTATTACGAATTCTATGAAATGCAAAATTTTTGAGCACCAGGAAGATGACAATTCCCCAATTTGGTGAAATTTTCAATGAACACACGAATAGAAAATTCAAGAATACATTCACCGGAATTTTCATAGATTAATTGACCTGAAATGTACAGTTTTCTTAAAGATTCAATGTTAAAATGGCTCCAAATTTTATCCCAAAATTTTCAACAGTTGACTCAACACATGAATAAAAAATCATCGCAATTCTCAAGGTAATTTGTCATTGAAACCCTCACTATGTAATATTTATTTTCGGAAAATTTTTACGGTCGTCAAATCCCAAGGTTTCACAGAAGGTTTCTGCTGTCCTTTGTCCATAGCTTCTACAACCACATTTTCATGGTAGAACGATCATTCCATGATTCCAAATCATTGCGAGTATTGATTCTTCCGTTAACATCGCTCGATAGATCGACCAATGAGGAGAAGAATTTAGTAGCGAAGTGGTAAAACGGTACAACTCAATTTTGACTATTGACCAGTTTTCAATTAATATCTCGGAATCTCAGGACGATAGGAAAATTTTTATTATAACCTTTTTTGTAGAGCCGATTGTGAGCTACAACAATTGTAATTACGGAAATTTCGCTATCTCTCTTAGATTCGGAAATATTCCTCAAAAACTCAACTGGGAGATGAGTCGACTTGAACCGTTTTACCACTTCGCTACTGAATTGAAAGTTGACAATCAGAACATTTATGCATTGCACTTTGTTAAGAGCAGAATGATCTAGTCTCACCACCCCACTACTGAATTATTTATCTGAAAACTACAATACCTCCCAGCCTTCTTTCCATATTGAACGGCCTTATCTAACAAATGAGCGTATTTCTTCTGATGAGCGGCAGCAAGTATGAGTGAAGGATTTGTCGTGGCATCAGTCGGCTTAAATTGTTCCATTGCTGTAAAAAACGCATTTTATGACTTTGTTTCTCGTCAGGTGAAGGTCACATCAGTCATGTATAAATCGCATGTCCTCCACCATCAACAAATTTCGCAATTATCAATGCGTCATGCGATCTCATTAAGTCAAATCAAAAAACATAAACAATGAAAGTTCGATCGACGCGGAAAATTAATATTTTAAATATTGTAAATTGATCGTGTTTGAACATAAATGGTCCAGGATGTCGTGTTTGAATAATTGCAGGAAAAATCAAATAATCGAAAAATCCATCAAATGAAAGTCCCGGAGCTGCCTCGATCATGCTGAATCATTCAAATTTGGCGGGCCGGCGTTTAAAATAGAAAAACCGAGCGCATGGCGACTCTACCATAAAACGTAATGCAAAAATCCATAACGCATGATCGAATGATCGTAAATTAATTTTTTTAAAATTGAAATGCCAGTAAAAACGATATGTAGAAGGTCACCTCCCCCTCCGCGATAAAACGTCAACGATAATCACCTTCGCCTCTGACCCGCATCACTCCATTCTTCCCGCTCCACAAAACCATTCGAAACTGAAAAAACAACTTTAGCAATTCTCTATTTACCTTGAAAATCACCAGTATCAGCGACAACAGTTGTCAATGATTTGAGTTGCTCCAAAGAATTAGACATTTTCGATTTTTTGCACATCGGAGAACTCATTTTTGCCCGTCTCTATTTACTCACGTTCACGACTAACTCACGCTATCGGCTGACTAGCACTAGCAGTGGCTGAGTATATAGGAAACGACGAGATACTTCAGTCCTACCAACGTCCAAAAGAATTACAAGGTCATTCAGTTATCTACTTCCCCCCCAGGGAGATTTTCAAACAAGAATAAGAAAATGTGTCACGAGGTGAAAGGAAATGTCATTTTATTCACTAGCTTCAATACTTTATATAAACCTAAATTTAAGTACAATCACGATACAATGACGATAGTAGGGTAAACAGGTCAACTTCTGGGCAATTTTAAGTTGCATTGAATATTCCATAAATAATAAAATGAAAGTTGTACTGATTATTTCATTTTTTAATAATATTACTCGTGTAAAATCATGTGGTCAATTATTTTTTCTAATGATCAAGATTTAATACATAAAAAAAGTATGGCCCAGTCATCTAAAGATTAGGGGTTTTGGCTCCATTCAACTATTTCTTAATTTTATTATTCTTCACTTTGTTATTTTCTCTTCAAATATTTTTTTTATGCTAATTAAAACATTCTTGAAGGTATGGAAGCCGTCATATCTCTATTTAGGTGATTCTTTTATTTTAGATCCTACATCCAGCAATTGGCCTGTTCACCCTATATGGGACATTCCATCTCAAATAAGCCACCATAACTGGTGAATTTCGGGTACGAAGAACATTTCTGATTATGTTTATAAACGCCTCCGCATAAATGCCTTCGTTTTTAAATCTAAATAGAGTTGAAGGAATAGGATCTATCGATTGCCCGTCACCAGAGGTCAACACTGAGAGAAAACCGAACAAGTTCTCAAATAAGTCTGGTTTGAGCCAAAAGTCTCAAACATGAATAATTGCTCTGCTTTCAACAACAACGAAATATTTGGGTCAAGAGGTGGATAATGCATACAAGAATGCATACCTTTTCACGATAAAAATTCCCTAAAAAGTCCCTAAGTTACAAGATTGCTGTTATCATTGTTATTAATTCATTTAAGAATTTTTGTTTTGTCTGTTATTATTGAATAGCCGAAACGACAAACTACTATCACTCGTTTGATATAAAACGCATTTACGTGTGTTGTTTGCACAGAGAATAAAATTTTTTTGAGAAGACTAAAACTATTTTTGCATTAAAAATTTTCAATCTCGGCGCACGCTTCGAATGTGTGGCACAAAAAAATCCTTTTTTGATCATTTTTAACAAAACTATTTTTTTGGCACAAGTAAAGCTTCTTTGAGAACTCGGCTGTTTTGCTCTCAGTGCACCTTCTACAGTCAGAAATCTTGCAGTTTTTTCAATGAAACTCTGAAGTTGATTGTTGAATTTTTTTAGATTTTTTCCACAGACCAAGAGAGTGATAAATGCCTCCGGTATACTAGAGTATTTTCATCCAGAAAGTACTTGAAAAACCAAAAAGAATCGTTTTTTATTCATCAAAATCCGCATATTGGTTCGCAAGATAGATTTCTGAAAATTCTAAGTACTATCGTGAGTGTTAGGCACACAAGCGAGGCTAAGACGGTAAAAATTCTCCATTTATACAATACTGGATCCTGAACAAGCCAATTAGCGTTTATAGGACATTAAAAAATCCAGATGGCTGAGTTGGCATGGAATGTCCTATTGGAATGAAAAACATGAATACTCGGGTCTCAAATGATAATTATTCTCACAACTGACGTCCCATTCACTCACTTGTATAAAAATATTACACTGTAAAATTTCAAACTTCACAATTAATCATTCAATTTCATTGTTCCATGCATGATAACAAAATATAATAAATTTTCTGTCATCTTTTTCGTCTCCTCAACGTCGTTTGATACCATACTTTCAGTTTGTCAACAAATATAAAATTTCGGTCAAATAAACAGAATTATTCACATCTCTCTCAGATTTTCTCCAACAACGTGTGTCTATCAGTGGTTTGTTTTGGCTTTGGCTGATGACTGTACATGAAAATGGAACAAATAACGAGAATAGCGCCTGATGCAAATTGAAATGTGAGTTTAAAATTGAACAAATAAATTGACGCAATGCAGGAGATAATGATAGCCAGAGAGGTGGCGAAACCTTTGAGTATATTGTCAGCATGTTTGACTACCATTGCAACAATGAGACCACCACCTGCTTGCAGAACAACCAAGTAGTTGACGAACCAATCGTAGCCGAAGAAAAATCCCTGCTTAATTATAACATCACGATCTGTCACGTAACAACTAATTAATCCAATTGGCACTGATAATAAACTCAACTGTACGTTTCTCATCCAAACGGAGATGTCGGAGCCTTTGAGGATTTTTTCAAAATATATGCCTGCAAAACCGGAGAGAAAACAGGCCGTCAGGGCTGCTGAGAATCCAAGTACACGGTTCTGCTCGATTCCAGATGGAACCTTGGTGGGACCACTGTCTGCCAATTGGACGAGGACAACTCCTATCAGCAGTAGGATTAATGCACTCCATTGAATTTTTAGGAGAGATCTTCGGAGGATTACTACAGCAAAGAATGCTGTTGTCAAGATCTTGAGTTGATAAGTTACCTGGAAAAGTGATGGGAAATGTTGAGATCATTGGAATTCTAGCTGATGAAACGGTTATTTCGTCATTTGGTGATTCAGCTCTGCAGCGAAGAGATAAAATCGCGAGATTCAAAGAGATTTTTAATCATGAAAAATTCGAGAAAAAGATTTTCATGCTTTGCATTTCAGTCTCAGTAAAAACATTTGTAGGAAATCAGTATTAGTCAGTTTTCACTTAATCTCTTGGGATCTAAGGCAGATAGCAAATTTTTTGTCAGAACCTTTTTTGTAGCCCTCACTTTGCCCCACGAAAAATGTCATTACGGAAATTTCGCTATCTCCCTTAGATTGAGAAATATTCCTCGAAAATTCAACTAAGAGCGAAGTGGACTAGAGTCGTTTTACCGCTTCGCTACTGAAATAATCGGGCAATTTTATCCCTCTGCTATACTGTTAGAGAGAAATTGAAATTTCATGGTTAATCGACTTGTAATTTTCAGGAGAGTGACATTGAATTCGATTTGAAGATAAAAGAACCATTAATTTTTAAAATTTTACTTAAAACTCAATGGAACTTCAAATTTTTTAGCCGGAAGAAAACGAGTGATCCAAAACTGACTTGAACTTCCCATAAAAACGTGTATATTCAGAATCTAATTACGCTTAATTATCCGTTAATTGACGAATCAAATACAATTTACAAGAATTTTCATAATTTCTATTAATTTTAATGGAATAATTGAACTGAAATTTACCATTTCAATTGATTTTTTCGTAGAATTTCGGATTTTCAATGATAAGATTCGTTGAATTTTTAGTGAAACAATTATTTACCATAAAAACGTGAATATTCACTATCTAATTACGTTTCATTATCAGTTAATTGACGATTCAAATACAATTTCCCAGAATTTTTATGATTTCTATCAATTTTAGTGGAATAATTGAACTGAAATTTCGGAGTTTCAATAATGAAATTTCTTCAATATGTAATGAAACTATAATGTCGTAAAAATCTCCAGGAAATGTACCAGAAATTTCAGCCAAATTTTTCAATACTGTACTGACTTTGAAGATTCAATTATTTACCTGATACGTTGCAGCATCCAAATTCGACGCTGACACATACAGCAGATTGTTTTGTACTAGATAAACGAACGAAGGTACGCAAACTTTGAGAGTATCTACTGGCTCTTTGATAATCGTTGAATGCAGGGAGTTGATGAACTTTCGTAAATTCCCTTCTTCTAAAAATACTAGGATGAGACATGTGACACACTTCACAACTTCTGACATTACAACCGCTGGAATGAAAATATTGTCAATAAGATATGCGTGTTAACACAGCTTTGTGGATGGCCCACAAAGGCAAAGGGTTAATATCCAAATAAAGAAAGCAAGAATTTTTATTGAATGGATAGTTTTACGATATCGCTAGTGCATAGTTACCGGTAGACGCCAGAAACATATCACCGGATCTGGTCCTGGCGTATCGCATGCTGAGGCCCACCAACGCATTTTGTAGCGTCAGAGTGACCAAGCTGATGTACTTCAACGTCTGGGCATTGTCTTAAAAAATTAAAAATTGAATTATAGTGGAAGCATTATTATTATTATTACATAATAATAATCCGATAAAATTTTTAGTCTCCAATTCTCACTTTCTGTCATTTATTCCATTTATTTGATCAAAAGACAAGGATAGAAATCCAATTTACGAGTACTCTCCCATTATTTGAAAAATTATATCAACTTAAAAACTTTCCAGAAACATTGAAAAATGATTTTTTTCCAATTTCTTCCCGGCTACGTGTTGTTGCATTTTTTTCATTTCGTCTCTTTAAAATTAGATCATAGAATTCCAAAATATTCATTTCCTGCCCCTATTCGAAGAAAAAAAGTGATTCCAATTTTCCATCGACAGAAATGAAGACGAACAAGTTTTCTCCATTTTCTAGCCGATCATCCCTTTTAAAAATTTTCAGTCTCTAATTCGTGATTTTTTAAATTCATTGGCATTTATGTAATTCTAGTCATTCTATCAAAAGATAAGGAAAGGAATGGAATTTATGGGCCTTCTTTCATTATTCAAGAAAAAAATCAATTTAAAAAATGTTCATGTATACATGGAGAAATTTTAATATTACCCGAATGAGGTTTATAATGACATTTGTTTTGTGTTTGTTTTGATCACAAAAAAACTTTTTAGTGATCTTTAACATAATTCCTCTTCATTCAATGTTGTAACATGTGAATTAATGAAAAAGTGTACATATAATAAAAATAAGAATGGATAAAATTGAATTAATGTAATTGTGAAGACAGAAATGGAATAAAAGAACACAGAATAGTAGAAACTAATCTAATGACAGGCGTGAAGCGCCCGTTCGCTAGTTTATAATGAAATATACGATTTAAGGTTCGGATAGATTATTTTAGGAACGTTATCTCGATTGTTTTCCCGTCTTTACGATTCCACATATTTCCCAATGTCCATCAGATTTTACATCGCATATGAAAAAAAGTAGAAAAAAAACTACACGTTGTCAACTTGCGTTTTTCATAAAGATTAAGAAATAAGTCCAAACGAAAGGAAATTGTAAATGAATAATTTATCATGGTGAATGATGATCTAAAAGCCATTTGCTACATTAGATACGGTAAATTATAAATTTGAAATTTCTTCCGTATATTATAAAAAGACGCTGTTTGAAAAAGTTCAGTTTTTTCAATCTGTTATGAATCATAATTTTTGAGGAATCCATCACTATGTAAAACTGAACGGCAACGGAGAGAGTTGTAGATAACGAAAATAACGAAAACATTTAAGATTACGTTTAAACGATTATACACCCGGCCCTTAATGGATAGAATAAACGAATGCGTAATTGCCTTCAGAATGACACGAATTTATGATGAAACTTCACATACTTTTATACTTTTGACCCTACATACTCAAGTGAATTAAGTCCATTGATTTGAATTAATTTGACTATTATATTATTGCATTAATATTAACAAATTATATATATATTAACGTCCGCGATGTCTACAATTGCTGACAAAGCGCATGATTTTGTTAAATTCCTGTAGAATATGTAAGCCGCATTACAATAGAATGCCATCATGTGCTCCATCTTATTCAGTCTCCAATTGTTTCTAAATATATGTATATTTGTTTTATATGAGTATTCTGGAATATGATTTCACCCTATAATTAGCTTCAGCTCTTCGATCTTGAGTAAATAATAACAAATAACAAATTTGAGGGAAAAAAGGGAAAGAATGTAACTAAATTGAAATTTCGCAAAGTACTCATCACCTAAAACTTTTCGTTTCAATAAATGAGAAAATGGCAAAAAAAAGTAATTGAAAAAAAACCTGCGGTATGTTGTCTCCCGCAAGAATTTGAATTATAGTGAATGCATTTGTAATTGAGTAGGCGACCCAATGGAGTGAATAAACGAACACAAACGTTTCCAGAATAATTAAGGATTTATGAAAAAACTTCACATGGTCGTAAACATTTGACCCTTCTTTACGCAATCACAATAAAAACATTTATTGTGTATTTAGTGTATTACATTGTTATATTTTAAACTCACTTTACTTAGTGAAATTAATTCAATTTAATTGACTAAATTAAATTAATTTTCAAACACATTTTCCAAAAACGTAATTCTCATAGAAAATAAGACTCCAAGGAAAGGAAAAAATTTAACTAAATATTTGAAGATTCGCAAAATACTAATCACCTAAAAATTTTCATTCTAATAAATGAAAAAATGGCAAAAAAAGTTATTGAAAAAATTCCTGGGGTATCTTATTGTACGCCCCATGTAAGTAAGAAGAAATACTTCAAGCAGTAGTACAAATTAAATTTGAAATTCGACTCAACTTGAGATAAATTCTGTGGTAATACTCACTATGCTGATGCTTATTCATCTCGTCACAATTCTCTCAGTCTTACAAATGTTGGGGGATCCTTCTGCTCCTCTGGACTTTCTAATTACATCATTTCTGAAGACCGCACGACATGAAAAGAATTTATTTGAATGTATAGATTGTGAATTTGTTTTTCTTTTGGGAAGTCGTGAATGAGACATATTGATGTGATAATCGTGATCTACTTTTATGCACATGTGATCTATATATTGCGGAAGCGTATTCAGGACTTCGCTTCTTTCGTTCATATTTAATTGGAATTGTATTGATAATTTCTGAATGATGAATCGTTCTCCTGGTGTTAATCAATATTTTCGCCGGTCTGTTTTTCCCCGCACATTCGAGGAATTTAGCGTTCACCGAAGCACACATCTCGGAATAGTATCGAGGGATTAATGACCGATTTCAGTGAACAGGTACCGAAAGGATGAGATACTTAGGTTATGGTACATTCCAATGTGCGTGATGCAAAATACGTATGAGATTTATTTACACTCACTTTTTGAAAAATCGCTCGGTTAATTATCCACGTTGACAGGGAATCAACGACCAGGCTGTGTCTGGCGGAGCAACCAATCAACATTGACTCCAATATGTCGTAGCATAATGTCACGTGTACCATAAAATTTCTGTTCAGGTGGCAACTGGCAAGTGGAGAGACTAGGGAGTGGGAGAGAGATGGAAGAGAGGGAGTGGAGGCACTTCTGGCGCTGCCGATAGACGGCGGCATTTTCTGAATCGTAAGTTTTTGAATTTTTCTTAGGAAGCAACTGGGACATGGGTCGGCAAACAATTGATATACAACATCCTAAATGACTTTCTTGAAGCCACAAACCTTAGAATATAATTCACCTCCTTCAATTCGATTTAGGGGAGGGTGGGGTAAAATGGACACTTTTGATATTTAAAGAAATATTTATAACTCAGAGACAGATATATCAATTGAAACCAGTTTAGACTCAACACAAAGGGAAATAATTGTTCTTTTTACTGAAAAATAAAAAAAAACATTTCACCAACAATTCAACCTGTCATTAACATTTTTAAAAAAGTCACAAGTGTCCATTTTACCCCACTCTCCCATATATCGTATCTAAAGAGCCACGCAAAATAGTACATTAGAGTACAAGGGGACAAATTTCGTTTTCAACGAATGTGTGTACAGACCTCGCCTTCGGCTCGGCCTGTAAACTACACATTCGTTGAAAACGAAAATTATTACCGAGTGCTCTATAATATTTTATGTCAAGTCGTGCAGAAGTCGAGTTTTGAGCAAGCTGCGCCAAGCGCAGCGTGCGATAAACTCGATTTATTGCACGGCGCGACATAAAAAATAATACGTAACGTTGAACACATGTACTTATGTCTTGTTTTGTGCAATAATCCGTTTGTCAAATTCGACAATGTACATACTGCAGAATAAACTGTAAGGTTTAAAATGCTTATCAATGAAAAAACTGGGACATGGGGCTACCCGAGAAAAGGAAACAACAAACAATTTTTCTACAAAAAATGTTACGAAATATTGGAGTTTTGATGGATATTGAAGTTTTGCATGAGATGTTTTTGCATGTTTTTATTGCTGAATATCACAATCCCCTTTTTTAAAACCGAATGTCAAGTTTTTCGAAGCCTCTATTTCGCTTATTTAGTGATTTATATTCAGAAAAGACTATGAATTTTCGTAGACCGCTCAGTAGTTATTTTCAGAAGAATTTTTTGTAGTCGTTTTATTTAAGGGAGGAAAACCGTGAATTTATCAACTTTTAGAGGAAATTTAATAGAATTTCAAACTTTTAAGCAGCAGTAATACGAGAATTCTACAATATACTCTAATTTTTGATCGAAAATTGAATAATTGAATAACAGATTACAATGACTTTTTAATTAATTGATAATTCAAGAATGCATTTACTTGAATTCTCCTGTATTCGATTCATTTAAATGGAATAATTGAACTGAAATTCACAGTTTCTATTAATTTCTTCATCAAATTATAAATTTTCAATGACGAAATTTCTTGAAATTTCAGGGTAACTGTCCCTTGATGAACATTCAAAATATGAATTTTTTTTAAATTTGAAGCAAAGTGATAGTTTCGAGAGAGCGTAGATAACGGAATATTCCTTCGAAAATGAGGGATTATTTCACTCAACCCATGTTATTGAATATGATTCCGTCGATGTCGCCTACAATAAGTTTTCAGATCGACGGAACGTGATGTATTCAAATGACTATCAAAATTCTATGAAATATTCAGGGAATACAAAGGAATATATGATCGATTGGAGCTCTCGTGACATCGAATCATGAGTCTTATGAATGTACGAAAAAATAGCTGAAGGTAAAAATAGCCGATGGATAGTAACACGCGTTGGGTGTGGGAACCGACAAAATGACCGGTCATTTTTTCCGCCTACCGAGTCTTATGTTTGGAGCCCTCAGAATCAATTATTATAGGGCACAGTTTAATCATGCAAACGACTGGAAGTAACGCCAATAGGTTGTTTCATTGGCACTATTGAAAAACAGTAAATGTTTGAGCCAAGAAATAATCCGTCCGTTTTACTACATTTTTCTCTCATTGTATAGATATTCAACATTTGTATCATTTAATATTTATATATTACTCACTTAACTGAGTCAAAACTTAGTAAAACAATAGAAAATTTTACTATAACGAAACAAAATTGTCAAAGTATTTTTATACACTCAAGTAAATATGAAGATTGCGATAGTAAAAATATGATTTTATATCAATTCTTTATTTGTCCATACAAATTATAAACATGTTTTACAAATACTGTACATATACTGAATTCTATTATATACTTTTAAACCTCTAAATTAATGATATATCATTTTGCTCCATTTTCTTTACCTCTCCATTTCAATTATCTTCATTTACTCGTTAAATCAACTACTTTGATCCTCGCTTCGTTTCATTTACGATGATATAATATACAGGTAGATTTTTCTTCTTTTTCACGTATTTTCGTACAATATTTTGTTTGAATTTAAGTTTCTCCGTTTCATTAAAACTTTTGCTTTTTCATTAAAACTTTATGATCAAGCTCAATTCTTTGATATGGCAGTTCCAGGATATGGGGAAAAATACCAACTGAATGAAATTGAAATTTTTAAATTTATCAGTGAATTCCGCTTCAGCCAATTTTTCAATTACTCCGGGAATAGTTACTTCCACATTTTCTTCTCTCGAAATTGCATTACACTCTCACAAAATATATAATAAAAAATACACTCAGGTAAGTCTAGAAAAAAAATTAACGCAAGTAGTTTACTATCGTTGGATGATTCTTAAAAAAGGAAACACAAATCTATTACTTTCTTTTCCATTTTAACAAAATTGAAAACCAAAGTTTCTTATAATAAAAAAAAGGTGGATTATTTATCGAATGGCCGCTGGAACTTGAACAATGTCTTATGGTCGTTAAACGTTATTATTTACAGTTTCTTTTTCATTTTCAATAAAGTCTGACTGCACTATTAGATCGTCTCATGTATACAATTCGAGATTGTGATTTTCTACATATTTTTTCCTTTCGTCTCTAAATTACATCTTTATTTGCATCTCTGTCCAGTTTTTTAAATTCAATTTCGATATCATCAATATAGAGTGAGAGAGTACTATTTTCTATCTTCACAGAAGACATAGATAAATATATATTTTCATAAACTTTTTTTTTCTTATAAATGTAATTTACTTATTTTTAAAAATTATTACTCATTACTGTTAATAATATTCGTGTCGGTGCTCATTCACAATTTTTTTCATGTACTTCTTCCATCGATTATCCTCGAATTAGAATGAAAGAATTTTTTATCAACATTTTTTATACTAATTTTTACAATCGTCTAAATACCAGTGAGAACTCTCAATCTTTTCAATATATTTGATATAGACAATTTTTTTTTTTGAACTCCAGTGACATTCCAACGATTGTAGTTTGAATTGAAATAATTGCTCAATTTTTTAAATCATTTTTTTTTCTATAAAAAATAGCTGCACTCAATTGATACGAAAAATATAACAATAACTAAGAAGTACAAAAGCTGCCAATTTATCATTTTTCAATCGTAATTTAATTAATTATCGATCAAATTAAAATTGTCCTTTCTTATTCAAGCGAATGGAAAACAACCATTGAAGACAAATAATTGCAATAATTCATTCTATCGTCGTTGGGCCCTGAATAAAAAAGGATATATTTTCTGACTAAAGAGAGATCAAAATACATTGCCACTTGTTTCATAAAAGTTAGTTTACAGTAACAATACGGTAATTAATCTTAATGTATTCCTAAAAGTATATGTATTTTTCTTTTCTTGTTTTTTTTTTCTTCATCTCCAGTTTATGTTAGTTGTTTACTGCACAGTAGGCAAGTTCGTTTCGTTAGAGAACAATGTGAACGGGAAAGAAATTGAAATAACAAATCAAAGAATTTAGCAATGAGAGTTAAGAGAGAATGCAATAAAATGATTCATTGAGTTCGGAGGGTATGGTCCAGAGTATATTTTCTTTCCAATTAAATACGTAATGAATGAATCTACTTTGTATTCATCTTCATGGTCCCTCCGTGATATTTTTTCAACCGAGTGAGACATCGGGAGCTACTTTAAGTACGAAACTCGACAAAAGGAGGCAATAGTTCATGTTCCATCTGATTTTAATTCAATATAATTAAAGTGGATCTGCAACAATTTGTCACAGCGACGAAAATAATTTTACTCTGAATTAAAAAATGATTTCTCTTTGAATTTTCTCCCTCAGAAAATACAACGAAGCATGAATTTTTTATTCACTCGACAAGCCAAATAAAATACACTTCCGGGGTCACTTTTCTGCTAAAGTGCGGCATGAAAAATTCCCTGCTAACATCACATTATAAATGTAGTAGAAAGTTAAAAACGAAACAAAAAAAAACAGTACACTAAGTAAGAAAAAAAATCAGACGCAGTAACTTCATAGAAAATAAAATCCAGAGGGGAAGTTTGTTGGGTAGAGGGGGAAGAGGAGAATAAATTCTTAGAGTAAAAAATTAAAGTGATTATAAGGAATACAAACACATCCTTATAGCCTACATGGTCGCTGCCTAGAGTTGGGTGGGATCGCACAAAAAATCGGTGCAATTAACAATTCACTATTTTCGTTAAATGAAACGTAAAAAAGTAATGGTTCAAGCTTTACGATAATAAAACTTAAATTTAAATTGCTGCAATTGGGGGCAAAAATAGACTGAATAAAGAGTTCCTTTCATGTCACAATCGTTGAATTTAGAAATGAATACGTGCAGCTTATTTTCTTCCTCTCCGATCTCATACTCTCGTTTTGTTTTCTAATTAAAAAAATAATTAAAAAATCAGGAGGACTCTTGAATTTGTAATGGCATCATCTTTTCTTTTCAAAAACTTGTTTTTTTCAACTTTCATCTCTCAGTTAAAACTTAAAATCACTTACATAGCTTTATACACGATCATTTATAACAATGTAAATCGTAATCATTGCGTTCTTATTTAACATATATACTCTTACTCGTAATATATGTATAATCTGTGTAATGCGAGTTTCTTAACTTTTTTGTCTGTGTTTTTAGTATTTGTGTGTCTGTCGTTGGACTTAAAATTGGAATATTCATCAATTCCGAGTCAATTCATAATACTAAGTTATTCCGATACTGAAACGATTCTGAAAAAAAAAAATCAGAATTTTTAATTAATTTTATTGTCAATTTTTCCACTAAAATAAAACTTTGAAAAATTAAAAAGCTAGTTTCCCTAGATTTTTTATACGAAAAAATAAAGATATTAATTTATTGTCATCCAACATAAAATCTCAAGATTATTAAAATTTCAAAAAAACTAGTATTGAAATCGATCAGTATCTCATAACAGTAATTTTGATAATTCACTGATTATCATTCGCTAAAAAAATCGTCGTGTCCCAGAATAATTCACCAATACGACAGTAGATCATCTGAGATCACAGCTTACAAAGGAATTCATAAGTAAAGACCCACATATCGTAAATCATGAAAATTCCAGGAACTACTAAGGATGAAAAAATGAATATAAATTTGCGCAAACGAAAGCTACTTGATCTGTATTTACATACCCAACGTATTGACGGATGTCACGCAGTTGTGTAACTGTCACTGGTGTATGTATACCTGTAGTTTCATTATTTCAAATTCAATTTTTCTATTTTGTTTTTCCTCCTGTCTCTCACGGTGTTGCGTAAGTGTACTAGTGTGCGATTTACACGCACCATGCGCGTGATTCTATAATGGATGATTTATTATTATTATTTTTTTTTTCATTTCTTGTTGTAATCATGTAGTGGTAGGCACTGATGGGGGTGGATGGCTGCATGGCGAGCAGATAATTTAAGAAATTAAAGAAGAATGATGCAGACTTAGTCTTTTACAAGTCTGTATATGTGATGCTGAGCACCGTGCTCGGACGTTGATACTTCAAAAACATATGCTGTACAGAGTAACGTCTCTTGTGTATCTCTGTTTGTAACAACCTGTAAGGAGAAAAATTTAATTAAAGATTTGGTTTTCCATGTTTTTCATGCGGTACGTCTATGATTTCATTATGGGGGGTCATTTTGGGAAATGATAGAGGTAATTTCGAGGTAATTCAAGAAGTTTCTTGAAATTTCGAAACAATTCAAGGAGTTTCTAGAAAAAATTCGTGGGAATCCAATAATTTTCTAGGAAATCCAAGGTAATTCAAGGAGTTTGTAGAAATTTCGAGGGCAATTTTTTTATCGATATTCTGCGACATTGCATTGCATCCAAGTAATTCCGCACATTTAATTTATTCTGTCTCATTACATACAACAAATTCGTTTCATGACAAAAATGATATATTGAACTGAACAATTTAGAAATAACAATGCAAGGAAACAGCAACAGACATCGGCATAATCATAAATTTTAAATAAAGTTAAATTTTGAATAAGTCCATTGGTAATATTACTCATGAATTTTTGAATTATTAAATTAATTACCAATTCAATATTAAAAGTCTGAATTATTTTATCAATCGATAATGGAGTTCGGAAGATTAACGATCATTTGGCTACTCGAAAACTATCTTTTTATGAAGTTTAGAATTATTTACTCAATATTCAGTTGACAATTCCATATTGTCAATGAAGATAAGTAAACCTTAGTTATTGTAAAGTGCAATTTCTAATAATATTAATAACCTAATGATTGATGCCGATCCCTGAACGGCAAGCATCTAATTTTGATTCATAAAACGGAATTTTTATTAAAAGAATTATGGCAGAGATCGACAATAATTTATGGTCGCAAATATTCTGCTGCATTCGTTCAAGTCAGTTCACAAATTTGATCGATTGTGCGTGATTAGACATGAAGAAATGTTCTATAATGAAACTAGGTGAAGGAATTAAAGAATTCAGAGATAAAAGTGAAAGAAGACGGCAAAAATATAATTTCAATTCATAATATGGCAGGATTATTATTACTAAAATTATTAAAAAGATTTGAGATAATTTATTGCATGTTTCCCCCCATTCTATCCCACATACATGTCGCATTTAGTTTCATTATAAATTCAAAATTAATGCGTCAAACCCGTTTGGCAAGTGATGTTGGTTAAAAATTTAGATGTAAAATGTATTGAGATCATAACAGAGTTTTTAATTGTATCGTAAATAGATATCTAAGACTACTTAGATTGAAATCCACAAATGTGATTTAATCATGTAACGAATATTTTTGTATATTTTTGTATATCTTTTTTCTCATATTCTTTTTTCTTGTTCTTTCCTCTTTATGTATGTAGTTGTATAAATCGATAGGTTTTGATGATGAATTAAAAAAAATTAATGTTTGATAGCTAAATGCACAGAATAAACTGAATAATTCAAAATTAAAAGTGATGAAAAACTGAAAATATCTTAATCTATTTCACAAGATGACAGAATTGTCATTTCCAAAATAATTGAAGAGCTTTACAACAATTTGTGGAATATTTCTGCAAATGTTTTGCTACATTTCTCGTTGCATTGTATCCGAGTCATTCTACAAATTTGAGTTATTTCGTTTCATTACACGTGGGCAAGACAAATTAATTGCACGAATGTGGTTAGAACTTTGGCACAATTTACCTGGAGAATCGTGAAGTTCTCGAGTACACTGTTCATCATGTATTTCTCTGGTAGATGTTTCAACTTGTGAATGAAGTTAATCATGTACTCGCACATTGGTGAACGACTGATGCGATACACGAACCTTCCGTTCTCAAACCTCGCGTATTCAGTCTCCACTTTCTCCACCACTTGTTTACCAAACGAGCATACTTTCGTCGAACACGTTATCGTCATGTTCTCATTGCTCTCGTATCTGGAGGAGAAAAGAAATGACAATTTCTGAAATTATCACAATAACCCATTCCGTATTTCACTCGTTGTTCACAACTTTTGAAGTTCATTCTTCATTTTTAAGCGGTGGAAAATATTATAAAAATCCTAAAAGGAGTTGAGGAAGTCATTATTCAAGAAAATTCCGATTTTTTCTTTATAAAGAATTATAGAAAAATTTCTCGTCAACAGAGTGACGCAAACTTATATCTCTGGAAATGAAAACAAAAACCGTCACAATTTCTTGTCTTCACAATACTCGTGATCTAATATGCATTCTCTTTAGAATGAGAAACTGGTAATTCAATTATTTTATTTTAGGTGAAAAATGTTCTTAAGCATAATAATTAATCTAGTGATCATAAGAACAAGCGAAGTCTTGAATCAAGAACATTTTCGTTTTAAACTGAGAACATTAGAAAGGGATAAAGTTCGTAATTTATTCAATATAGCTTTGAATAACGAAGAAGTAACGAATTTCATTGGGATAGAATTGTAATTCGAGAGATATTTTAAGAGATACTAGAAGCATGAGCCGATCCATTTTAGAACACAAAAAAAAATTCCAAAACGATAATATTCTTCAATCATGTACAATTATGCTAGGTTTAAACTAAAATGACAGAGAACTAGAGCTTCGTTGCCGAATTTTCCATTTCAAAAAATGAAATTTGACCCACTGTTAACTAGTAATTTTCCATAGAGTCACATTAAATATGAGTTAAGGGCAAAAATTATGAAATTTCTGATCTCCCTGAAAATTCAATGAAATTTCAAATCTTTTAGGAATATTTACAATGAAAACATGAATATTCAGTACCAAATTATGTTCAATTTTTAATCAATTGAGAATTCAAGAATGTATTTATCTGAATTTTCCTCACTTTTATGAACTTTCATGGAATAATTGAGCCGAAATTTAGGGCTTCGGTTGATTTTTCCGAAAATTTTGAATACTCAATGATAAAATTCCCTGAAATTTCAGTGAAGCTACAATGTGATACAAAAATTCCAAGAATTTTAGCGGAAATTTCAGCCAAAATTTTTCAACAAAACTACCTCTAAAGTTATTGAAAATGACTACTCACTGGCTCGTAACACCGTAGAAAGCTCCAGCCTCATCCTGAATGTTGGTATTGAGATCAGCCCAAAATTTAACAAGGAAGAAAGCAGCCTGTGGTCCCTTATCATAGAGCTCCTTCAAGCCGCCCTTTTTCTCCGGAAATTTGTCATAGATCTGCCTAACATCCACCGCCTCCAGCAGTGGATCCGCGTATGTCGCTGAGCCACCTATGTGGACGAACAGGTGCTTGTGGTACTGAAATTCGGGTGTAAAAATTTTCTAATTATTTCATTTGTGATAATAAATTGTTCGAGATAAAATCAAGTACTCACGATGTCTTGATCTCGATGTTGCTCCATGTAGGCCGAAAATTCAACGAGTCTGAGTTTGTGAGTGGCAATGGCACGACCCTCCCACGGTGGTGGTGGCTGTGCCTGGACCATGTCACCACTCGACACTGCAGTCGCCGGTTTTCCGGTGTATGTCGACTGTGGAAATGGTTTGACATCCTGGGAAGTACCTGGCTGGAGTCCGGGCTGCCAAAAGTTCTGGTTTTGACAGAAAAATAATTGCTAATTAGCTTGACAAGGATTGAATCATAATTGGTTTGTTTCGGTTTATGAGACATCACGAAAAACAATGAAAGTTATTATTGAGTCTCCTGGGTATGACGTTCTGTGGAGGTGGCTGTCACATTGTTGACTTGTTTTGTTTTCTTCTATCGGGAGAATTGTGCAATAAAGCATGCTCCTACACAATGAACATTAGGAATAATTTGACTAGACATTGATCGCGTCAAGAGCCTGATGAAGCTAAAATAATTAGCGAAACGTCGCACTTATGGCAATTTAATCAATGTTGTTATTATTTCTCCACTATCCCTTGATTCTCAATATCATTTATCAACATTATGGAGATGAACAGTTTCATTATTGATAATCTTTCTACAGATTTAATCCAATTAAAACAAAATTACTCGATAGCAAAACGAAGATGAATTCATTTCAATCTTGTGATAGTTCATTGCTGATTCTACTCATGGGATTTGTTCTATATGAAGTCGGTAGTGAAGTTGGTAAGTAGAATAAGTCAAGACAGCTTCATGTTTTTGGTAAAGATTTTCGTTTGCATTTACTGAAGGTATATCTTGCCTATTCTCAGGTAAAATTGACTTTTATACTCTGTTCCATCTGTTCATTATCAAGTGAGTTATCACTGGTTAGACGAAAAAGTCTCTCATAGTAAGCAGCATTGACGATTCAACGGTAATCGCAAGAAGCCACAAAGTTCGGAAAGGTTATTATTACTAATTTTTCAACAGATTTAATAAAATTGAAATGAAACAAAACCCCTAAATGGGAAAATAGAAGTAAATTCATTTCAATGCTATTACAATCCATTGTTGATTTCAATCATGGGATTAGTTGCATTCGAAGTAAATTGTCAAGTCAGCAAGTAGAATAAGTCAACTCAGCTTCATGTTTTTGGTAAAGATCTCCATTTTGAATTAACCGAAGGTACACCGTATCTATTTTCAACCGAAATTGACTTACGTACTCTAGTCTACTTCTTCACTATCAAATTGTTAGTCAAATCTGTTCTGTACAAAATTATCATTTATTAGACGAAAAATTCTCTGATAAACACACAAAGTTTAGGAAGGTTACTATTATTACTATTTTTCCACGGATTTAATCAATTAAAAATGAAACAAAACCCTTGAGTCGTGAAATAAAAGGAAATTAGATGTTGATTCTAATCATGGGATTAGTTTCATTCGAAGTCAATAGTGAAGTCAGCAAGTAGACGCAGTCAACTCAGCTTCATATTTTTGACAAAGATCTCCGTCGTGTATTAACCGAAGGTACACCTCATCTATTTTCAACCGAAATTGACTTACATACGTCTTCACTATCAAATTGTATCTGTTCTGTACAAAATTATCACTTATTAGATGAAAAATTCTCTAATACACACACAAAGTTTAGGAAGATTACTATTATTACTATTTTTCCACGAATTTAATCCATTAAAAATGAAATGAAACACTTGAATCATTAAATAAAAGTAAATTCATTGTTGATTCTAATCATGAGATTAGTTTCATTCGAAATCAATAGTAAAGTCAGCAAGTAGACGAAGTCAACTCAGCATCCTGTTTTTGGTAACGATCTCCGTTTTGTATTAACCGAAGGTACACCTTGTCTATTTTCAACCGAAGTGGACTTACATATTCTGTTCTGTACCAAAATTATCACTCATTAGACGACGAAAATTTCTCTCATAGTAATCAACATCGATGATTCAACGGTAACTGCATGACGGGAGGCAAAAAGTTTAGGAAGATTATTATTATTGCTATTCTTTTACGGATTTAATCAACTAAAAATGAAACAAAACTCCTAAGTTGTAAAATAAAAGTAAATTCATTGTTGATTCAAATCACGGGATCAGTCTCAGTTGAAGTGAATAGTCACGTCAGCAAGTGGAATAAATCAACTCAGTTTCATGTTCTTGGCAAGGATCTCCGTTTTGTATTAAATGGAGGTACATTTTGTCTATTTTCTAGCGAAATTGATTTACATACTGTTTTACTTCTTCACTATCAAATTGTATCTGCTCTGCACAAAAATTATCACTCACTATATTAGACGACAAAAAATTCCCTCAGAGTAAGCAACATCAGCGATTCAAGGATGGACGCATGAAGAACATTATGTACATAAAAGTGTATGTAATTTATCATTTGAACGATCCACTCAACAATACACAACAAGGGCCCCCAGCGGGCGAACAGCAGGGCAAATGATTCTGTTTCTTCTCCAACGTTTTTGTTAGTTCAACCCATAAAGCCTTCCGCAGTTACTGTATCTCAAATTTTTATTCCAAGCAAACAACATTGTTTTCTCTCCTTGATCAGGCAGGGGCTTCAGACAGTTACGCCAGTGTTTGGGTAAATATGTAAACAAACATTTTCAGAATTATTTCAGCCGAGTAACGAAGCTTTTATTCGTGCGGTTAGACATCTTCGAGGCTTTGAACTCAGACTTTTGCGGGAATTTTTGCATTTTGGGGAGAACTCTCGTCCCCTGGGGACTTACCGCGCTGGGATAGGAGACGGGGGTGGAAGCGTGGAGGGCAAGGGTCCCCATTAAGGCGGGGGGCATCTTGTTGTGTATACCACTGCTGGCTGATACTATCTGGGCGCTCGACATGCTCGACATTGTCTGTAGTGCCTTCTCCTTCACGGTGTGATCCTAATAAATTTATCATTTGTCATATGCGACTTCAAAATTCCTTACACGGAGAAAAAACAGTTGAATTGGGTATAAAATCAGTAGTGAAGTGGTCAAACGGCTTAAGTCAATTCCATTCTAGCGCCAGTTCTCGATGAATATCTCAAATTCTAAAGGAGTTAGCAAAATTTTCTTGATTATTTTTGGTAATCGGATCTGGCCTTCCCTGGGCCAATCAGAGTTCAGTATTCAATAACATGAAGTGCTTCCCAATTAAAATTACAGCGGTTATTTCCCCCTAGCTTTTGATAATTTCCCTCTAGCTCTGCATTTGTTTCTCTAACCAAATAACTGTCAAATATTATCCTGTGGAGTGAAAGAAAGTTATGAACAAAGTCAAAATGAGTCGGTTTGGGAAGGATTCGATTACCAAAAATAATCCGTCGAATACCACTCGACCTCCAAAATTAATCGAAGATTTCCCTCGTGTTTTCCTGCGTATCAACGATCGGGATAAATTTTGGACAAAAATTTTAACCTGCAAAACTTCTTCCTCTCGTTGCTAGGCAACAAAACAATCGGGAAATATCCGATAATTTGGGAGGTCTCATGGTATTACTACTGAAAATCTTTTTCGTAAAGAAGAGTGAAAACTATCGAAAAAAATGGATTTACGGACGCGTAGTGTCCGTGATGCGCTGCCTTGCGGCGAAAATGACAAAAAATAATAATCATCCACAGCACAATTTCGCGAATACTCGTAAATGGGAAATCAAAGTTATTCATATCATGAAGGTGAAATACAAAAATCCGGAATAAATAATGTAAGCTCCCTGATGTTCAATCCAAAAGTCCTGTGATTCGAAAGGCTTTTTATTTTTTTCGCCCCATTAATTTTTGGAAACGTTTCTGTCCGATTGAAATAAAAGCATTGATTCGCAATCGAACGTCTATTCCATTGAAAGCGGGAAAAAAAAATTACCAAATGCTTTTTTTTTCATTCCGTTTCAGTGTATCAATTCATCCCAAAAACCAAAGTGGAAATAACTCTGAATTTTTTACGTAAAACCGTCGCTTTCAGGCATTTGTCGAATGCATAGGCACGCGTTATAAAAACCATGTTTTTTGAATGAAAAAAATCGGAGGATAGGGTAAGGGGAAATATATGTATATATCAATGTGCAGTTGTGCAATGGTTTTCGCCTGGGGGTTTAATCTCTCGCTAGCACGATCGGCCACCGCTGGTGGTCCGGGAAATATAAAGAATGAATAAACACGGATGACCAGACGGAGGGGTGAGGAGCAGGGGGTGAAACAGCATCAGGGGGAAGCAATATTTTCGCTGCACGTGGCAACGATATAATCCACTAGTGGTATTAATTAACTCTGCACCGATATTTGACTTTATGAACAAAATCCTCGGAAAAAAAAATCGGCAGCAGTGATTACGAAAACAATTACCTGTTCAGTAATTGTTTTCTGTTTTTGTTTGTTCTCCTTTGTATTTTATTTTTATCCTTATGAACAAATGTATTGATTATTAATTTTTTTATTTCGCAATTTATTGGAGGACGACTGGAGAATTTGAATATTTTATTGATTCATCAACGAAGTAATCCTTAAGAGTTAATTACACCGTTAAAAATTTGTGGTTGAAATTTCTGGTGTACTTTGTGGAAAGTGGTACCACATTTAGTTCCAGTGGAATTCCGAGAATTTTACAATTGAAATTTCAGAATTTCAGGGGAAAATCAATGAGAACTGTAAATATCAGTTCAGTTATTCCCTGAAAATTGATAGAAATGAGAAAAATTCCGGTACATGTATTCTTGACTTTCCAATTAGTGGAAAATTCAGTGTAATTGAACACTGAATGCTCATTTATTCACGAAAAATTAATGCTGCTCAACATTTAGGAATTTAATTGAATTTTGGATTTTTCAGTGAAATCTAAAATTTCATGATTTTGTCCCTCTAAATCGCATTTAATGTTAGATTCCTGATAATTACCAATCGCCTGCACTGTTACAAATTTTTGAAAATTTCAGATTTAGTAAATCTCATGGGAGTGACATTGAACCGAATTTAGAGAAAAAATGGTTATGAAATTTCAAGGTTTATGTAGAATTCCCGGAAATTCATGAGTTTTCAGTGGGAGTGTGATGGAAATTACACAACTTAATTTAATTTTCAATGGAACATGAATATTCAGAAACAAAATGACATGATTTTTCAAATTTCCCCTGAATTTTCCTGATTTTTCTGACTTTTTACAGAATAACTGAATTGACAAATCAAGTCTTTTATTGATT